TTTTTAAACTTGAAACATCGAAAGTCCAACAAACAAACTACTGTAGCTGGGAGTCCCACCAGACCCGTCCATCTTCACTGCATAATAGGGCTGGGTAAAATTTTTTTTTTATTTTGAATCGATTCCTTTACATTTTTGCAAAATCGATGTCTAGGGAATGAGATCGATTAGTTTTATTGTGACGCGCTTGACGTTCACATTCAAATGAGCAGGAAAGATGCACTCAAAATACTTCAAGCCAGACCACTGCAAATAAAGCTAATGGGTTGATTGAAGACATTAACAAATGGATGCTGACCAGCAAACACCCTGTAGTTGATACAGACGACGCTGCAAATATGGTTTGTGCAGTGGAGATAATGCAGTTCATGAATGTCTACTGTGTCCCCGCGGTGTCACGTCTCTTTGCTCGAGTGAGGCTTCACTTTTTGACTTTTCACAAACAAGTTTACACTTTTGAGACAGTTTTGTTCACATCTCAAATTAAAAGTGTCCGATTTACAAGTTTGCACTTTGTGTTTAATATGAGAGGAAAAAATAAAATACATGAGTGTTTTGAAACACAGATGAACCACTTTCATTATTGTAAAAACAGATCAAATCGAAATTAATTGATTTAGAACTGTATGAATCAAAATCGAATCGATTCAGGACTTTGGCGAAAATATCCAGCACTACTGCAAAATCTACTTATAATTCTTGCTAAACCTCCTGATTGCCTCCTTAGACTAAGGATGTGGAAGAAAGGCCTTGTTTTTCCCATCTGGTGTCTAATATGAACAAAAGCAGGCCTTTTCTTACTTATGCTTTAAAGGAATATTCTTTGGTTCTGCGACAGAAAATTAAGCTATAATCAGTTTTTGAGTTTTGCACTTTTTATTTTTGTAAATAGAAGAGAGGTTATAACATATTTTACATTTGTTCATTTTCATTTCAAAATACAAAACTTCATTTTAATTTGCAGACTTTTCTTTTTATGTCATATTGCAGGGGTAAGCAATTAAAAATCAGCGGGGTCCGAATAAAGAAAATCATCAACCAGTAAAGTCCGGTGACATTTTTAATTATAATGTGTTACTTTAAGCAGAATTTAACACTGAAATAAAATGAGGAGTTTATGTCTCCATGTTATACATTGACTTTTTAAATAAAAACGTTTTAAGTAATAAAAATATTTTAAAATCTAAAAAAGAATTAGATTTTTTTTAGGTAGAGAACAACAATCGTTCAGTTTGATACATAGACAATTTCCTAATTCACATATTTTATAAAACACCTGAACGGACCGTTGTTTTCTTTTCTTTTTTTTTTTTATGGATTAATGAGATCAGTGGGCGACAAAGTCATTCTCAAGCACATATCAAGGAGCTCATTTTGAGTCTGGATTGATATTTATCTTTGATTTGGTTCATGGTGGAGAATCCTGCTTCACAACAGCAGGTTGAGCCAAACATCCTCTAAATGTGCAGGGTCATCTTTCAGCACGCTATTTCACTTTTCTTTCACCAGTTCACCACAGTTCTTTCAGCAGTCCACACTTTCTTACTCATTTTCTCATCGTCTTCTCCTTCTTTCCCATCGCCCGGCTTGCCAAAGGTTTGCCCGCTGTGTCTAACAGTAGCAAGCAGCAGCAACCCAGGCTGGTTGCTGCTGTAGTTGTGAAAATACTGGTTAGCTGATTGGCCTATGTTGGTGATAGACGGGCCAAATAAACCAATCAGATCAATGAAGCATATGACGTACTAACAGCCAGGCTACTCTTGCCGAAACCAGTCGGGAGAAGAGCAAAAACATCTTTTCCTCTGAGAAAAGCCTCCAGAGCAGTGTTTTGCTCTTCTTTCAGTGAAGAAATACTCTGTAATTCCGATAAAACTTGCTCGATAGCCACGCTAACGCTAGTTTCATCGGCTGAAGCCGCCATGTTCTTTAGACTGAACTGTTGCGCTTCTCGTTGCGTCACACCTCAACCTGCCTCAAAGCCAACGCTGATTGGACGTTCGTTTGATGAACGGCTCCAAATTTTCTTTAACGGAGAGTCTCCAGACTGATTAGCGAGTGAAATCTTGAAAGCTTGCGAGATCAGGATGGTCTCACTAGGCTAGAGTGACAGCAGCTCATTGGCTAATTTGTACATGTGCAGCCTGCTGCTGGAAGCTCTGGAGGGTTTTACCGTAAAAACAGCAAAAGTGGCGCAACTGAAATTAGACACCGTCGTCGGGCCAACATGCAGTAATTTATAAATGTTTTAAATGAGGTTGGGTCTGGATTAGCCAATCTGTAAACCTCTGTCATAAAGGAATGATGAAAATCTGTGAAATTTTAAAAATAATTAAATTTTTTGTTTTCTATTTCTCTTTACAATAATAATAAAAAAAAAAACTCATATAATGAGAACCACATTTAAAAATTGTTGCTGTGGCCCAGAATAAAATGGTTTTAGAACTTAACTCAGTCAGAGTTTTAGACTTGATAGAAATCCTGCGTCATCCATGGAAACCGCAGCACAGAGACATGAGATTTGGAGAAAAAATGGAGTAAATGGTCTGTTTTTCTAATGCTCTTCATCGGTACCAAGGACTCGCACTACAATCACAATAACACACATTCACATGCTGGCCACCAACTTTTCAAAAGACAAACACATGGTTGTAGAGCAGGGGCTTGAACCAGCAACCCACTGGTTTCAGGGCCAACCTTCTGAGCTGAGATTTAAAATCATATTTTTCAGGATTCTTGAATCTTGTGAGATCTGCACCCTCTCCTAATTAGTGAAAACAACCAGTTTGACAAACAAGCACATAAATAGGCCTGTTTTTCTTTTTTCTTTTTAAATTTATCTCATTTTTGTCAAAAAAACAAAACTAAACTAAAATGAGAAATTAAACCATTTTATCCTGAGGCTAGCTAAATAAAGGTTTAAAGCCACAAATATGGTATGTCCTTTTAATAAAACCCAACTTATTAAATTTGTTAAATATGTGCTGTAGGAAATGTAATTAAAATTTTTAGTTTTAGCAAAAAGAAAAATGAAGCATTTCATAAAAGGGAAGTGGGAATTTTCTTTGATTAGATTTTTTTTGGTGTGTTGAAAAAATATTCAGGCGAATTATAAGAAAGACTCAAGAACATATTGCTGGTTCTTAAAATAATGTTTTGGAAAAAAAAAAAAAAATCAAAATTTCTATTAAAAACCCTCTCAATCTGCTAAGACTTTATTATTTGTTATTATACTATATTCAGTCATTTTTAAAAGCCATTGTAGGTGATCTAAAGAGCAGGATTTGGCTCCGGAGCCTCAGGTTGCAGATCCCTCCTCTATGTAGTGTTTTAAGCTAATTTCTAATATAAATGCGGTCAGGATAGACCCAACCACCCAAAGACTGAACCAGATATCTGTTTTCAGATCACACAGAAGCTGAACAGCCCATGGAGACACACACACCTGTGAGTAACACACACACACCTGTGAGTAACACACACACACACACACACACTGTAGGATCCCTGCAGGAGCAGCTGACTAAACCTGAATCCTCCTGCAGGTCCCTGAAATCCCGCATGAGTTCAGCCTGGCAGAGAACCTCCAGGTAATGTCTGGACTCAGACTCCCAGCATGCTTTGCTTCAATCTTTGGCACTTCTGAGGTTTTACACTTTTACAAAGATTCCTCCTATTTAGTTTGGTTCTTGTTTTGTATTTCATAGTTTGTTGTTCTGATTGTTGTAATACCAGGCGGTCCAAACGTTGGTTTGGGAAGCGTTCTTATAATGAGGCAGAGAGGTAAATGAAGTCTGGACTGTTTTTTTTTTTTTCTTTCTCAGAGGACGACGGAGAACGAGAAGCTCTCAAAGCAGATGGTGGAACTGCTGGCGCTCCCGACCCGAGCCTACCTGGACCAGACCGTGGTTCCCATCCTGCTGCAGGGCCTGGCAGTGCTGGCCAAGGAGAGGTGGGTTCACACACGCTTCCTGTCATGCAACAGTGACCCGTCCAATCAGAGATCCGGGTTGGTTTTAAAAGTCTGGATCTTTTCTCTCCTCAGGCCGTCGAAACCCATCGAGTATCTGGCCATGTATCTGCTGAAGAACAAATCCCAGTTTGAGGACCGGAATTAAAGCCTCTGCCGCTCCTGCTTGTTTATGATCCGTGTTTTTCGTTTTGTTTGTTTTTAAATCTAGAATAAACTCCTTGTGAACAATCGCTGCCTCCTGCTGGCTCCTGATGGAACTACCTCTTCGTTTACTTATTCTCTGATTAAAGCTCTGCTGATGATGAGGAGAAGAGTCTTGATTCTGATCGGGTTACAGGGGAGGTCTGTTGCAGCTTCCGCACAGAACCCGTCAGAACGTGAACCGGGTTGGAACCAATTATGATGGAAAGAATCCTGAATATTTATTGTTTTTAGGTGGTTTAACTGGTTGCCCTCAAACACAGTAAGGAGGGAACATGTTAAACTGTTCTGGACTTTTATTCTGAAAGGGCCAAAATGCCATGACATCAGTGAAACATGTTCCTGTGGAGTCAGCCGAAGAGGGACGACGAGGATGAAACTCATCAATTCCTAAAATAATTGTTTAGACTGCAGAGAAATCCAGAACTACATGTAGGATTCTGTTCTTATAAGCAGACCTCTCTGATCTTCTGTTGGGTTAAAAAAGGATTAGACAGAGCGTAGGCTGACAGGAAGTGATCGGGTGATTTCCTGTTGAGAGGACGACATCATCTTTGGGGCCAATATAAATGCTCCAGATTTTGCTTCTCAGATTTTCTTTCACAGTTGGTTGTTTTTTTCCCCAACATCATTGTTTTTGAAGACATGAAAGGAGCTGGGCCTCTGGCTGGACCGCCCTGAACTTTCAAAGGTTAATTAAGATCACGTTTGAAGAAGCTTGTGATCGGGTTCCACGTACTTTTGGGTTAAAAGGTCCAAATTACATCCAAAGTCTTTGTCGTGTTTAAGAACTCCTAAAATAGGAATGGGTCTCAGACAGCAGCTCTTGTTCCAGTTAAGTTCATTTAATTTTAACATTTACAGAGAAATAAAAGCTGAAAGGGTTCATAAAAAAAAAAGGCAAACCCAGAAAATCAACATTCCGATATACGGAGGCCCAGATGGGTCAATAATATAAGAAACTTTTCATCACATGTAAATAATGAACTAGGTTTTACAAACGACCAAGTTAATTAAATTTTTTGCTTTTAGTTCTTCCAGGGAGGCTTTTATTTTGAAATTGAGTTCTCTGGTTAGACAGATGATAGTGTAGTAAAATATTTAATTCTTTAAGGATAATATCTAAAACAGCTTGTAAACATTACAGGGAAACTACAACTCCCATGATGCTTTTCAACAGGCAGTGTCCAATCCCAGAGTTCAAGTGAGATTACATTTAACAGACTTCTTTGACCTGAGGATTGTGGGTAGTGTATTTGGAGCTGCAGGAGGACATGTTGGATTTAATCAGATGAGAAGTAAAAAAAAAAAACCTAACTAACCCTGTGGCCCCACCCACTTTCAGATCCCGGTCGTTGCATATCAATTGGAAACATCCGAGGGCATCTCCTCTGAAAACGCAGAGCGGAGACCACCAGGTGACACCATAAGGTCAGAGAGCGTATGACATCACTTCCTGCTGCTCAGGAGGGGTCTTTGTGCGTCACATCGGATGGCAGTAGCAGGCAGATCAGCAGACTGTGAGACCAACAAGGAGGAGGTGGGCAGGAATGGGGCGGAGCTTCATCTCAGATGTAGAACTGGTGATTGGCTAAGCTGTCCATGAAAGGCTGAACCAGGAAGTCGGTGGAGAAGTAAAAGATGAGGCCAAAGGTGATGGATATGGGCAGTGCAGGCAGAGCTTTCTTAAAGATGGCCAAGAGGAGCAGCGTCAGGCACAGACCCTGCGGGTGAAAAAAACAAACAAAACATCAAGTTTGTTAATCTGATTCATTGCATGAATAATGTTTACTATTAACTAAAAGTCTTATTTTTCCCCCCGCTTGTTTTCTTTATTCACCTTAACGGATTATTTTGTGTTTTTTAATGTTAATTTAAGCATTAAGGTGGAAAAATATGCGCAAATGTATATTATGATCACAGCATTGCTAATATTGTAACAGTACTTGCACAAAAATGTCAACGGCAGATTATTTAATCCTATAGGAATCCTGTGGAGAGAAAGCAAAAACTGAGATATGTGCTTTGGTTTTGTTAGCACCTGTTGTAGACGAGCTGCTGCATTTTGGAAACTGCATAGGTTGACGATTTATGTAATCCAAGATACAAGATCATGTCCTAAATTGTACATCTTATTGGCGACCCCAAAAGAGCAATTAGATGTATTTTTAGCGGACGAAAACCGCCAGCCGCCAGAATCAGTTCAGAATTTTCACCGATCACAGTTTTACCAACAGGAAAAATAGAATAAATCACTGAAGACAAACAGGATTCTCACAAAGCTGTTGCCAATACATCTACACACATTCACACTTCTAAGCAGTCTAAATTCATAATTTCCTTATCTCTAATTAAATAGAAGACCCTTTAATTACTGGTGCGGTATAACTCTCCTTCTCTCCCATAATACAATAAAACTAGTTCTAAAAATACATTAATTGCTTATTTCCCTTAATTAATGTTAGTATAATGATGTCAATGAGTTACTGTATTTTTATTGTCAGCATGTTAACAGTTTAAATGTCAAATAAGTAAATACATTCCACGTGTGAGTTTCACTGCTGCCACGCTGTGGTTTAAAAGGGGAACTGCTTGTTCTAGAGCTGGAGAATTTCCTCCAATTTGAACACATCATTTGCCTGGGGTGGACATTTCTAATCCATTTAGAAAAATTGAAATTAGGAAAAAAAAAAGGAAATACAAAAATAAACTGAAAATTACTGTAATGTTAAAAAAAAAAAAAAAAAAGCTTTAAGTAACTTAGCATTTTATTTTAGTAACTTAGCATTTTCTTTCTTTGATTTTATTTCATTTTATTTTTCAAAAAAAAAAAAAAAAAAATCAGAAAATTTGAGATTCAAATATTTTATATTCATGTTTTATTTTTTTCAAATGTCTATTTTTCTACATTTTTTTCAATTTCTCTTTGCTAGGTCTTGAATAAATTATTATCAAAGACAAATACAAAACACCCCACTTGCTTTGACCAATAAAAATGTTGTTGCTTATGTCCAGCAGACCAATAGAAATGCGTCTTCCCTCTTCACTCCAGAGGAAAGCCCGCCCTCAGAAGTAAAGAGAATGTAATCTAAAAAATGAAATTAGGGAAGAATCCAATTCATAAGACTAAATCTAAAAAACAGAAACTAAAAAAAATGTATATTTTCTTGATTTTATTGAAATCTGAGAAATAAAATTTATATTGAAAATATCTCGAAATCTGAAAAAAATAAAAGTTACTCAAGACCTTTTTTATAAATAAAAAGCCATGGTCTCTTCAAATTTCTATATACAAATCTTGTTTTTTGCAAAAAAAAAAAAAAAGGTATAAAATTCACTCCATACATTTGTCTGTTTACAGCGTTCTAAAACTGCCTCACGCACTGACTCAGGACGACTGCCAGTTCACCTGCACGCATGGATGCACGAGCCATAGCGCACCCAAAAGCTCCTACAGGAAACATGAGAATGCAGCAAGGAAAAAAAAAATACGACGGCTTCACAGGGGACAAACTTCAGGGGAAATTTTCTATGTCCAGAAATCCTTTAATGGGTTTCTTTTCACGGCTCTTTTCAAAACTTTCCAAGGCCTTAAACGTACTCTTTGAAATAAAAATAAAAAATGTCCACGAAAAACCAGAAACAGACACAAAAATCTGAATTCAATGTTAAAAGCAACAAAAGGAAACCAAAAACAGTTGAATCAGTAGGTTATATCTAACCACAGATCACAGAACTGCTTTTAACAGAGAAATTCAATTCAGTTTATTTATATAGCGCCAAATTCACAACACATGTCATCTCAAGGCACTTTACAGAAATCATGAGGAAAGTCTACATCCAAGGCAACAGTTATTGTGACTGGCTGAACAACCAAACGACTCTTTGGAAAGGAGAGGAAATAAAATTATTGATCTTTTCCTGTGCTTATCAGCCTCCTTAAACCTGAAGACTTTGATTTGAAGTCCTGTTGTTTTAACACCTCTTCTTTATGATTGTTTCCTCATCCAGGGATATTTACCTAAACATGTGCTTCTGACCCTAAAAAAACCCAGAAAATCCTGATGCCCTCTGCCTCACCAGGGGCCTTTAAGAACAAACAGTGCTTCAGGCAAAACCCATGGTGTTAGAAAATCAACGGTGCAGGAAAAAAGTGCTAAAAGCAACACAAACCCCTGCAATCAACAACAAAAAACGTTCTGCTAAACTCACCTCAATACATTTAATTATGAATCCATTCAGTTTTATTAAATCCAGGAGCATCAAACCTTATGTAATCAACTTTGCTCAAAACCCAAACGATTAACCTGAACTACATTTAGCTTTAAAACAATGATGGAAACAACCTCAATCTAATAGAACAGGAGATAATATCTGTTTTGTCTCCTGTAGATTTGAACTCTCACCAGTCTGAGTATTAACTATCAGAGGGTAACATCGCTTCTCACCAAGAATGAAATGTGGGATCGGTAGATTAAAGACACACATTTTTCAGTTAATTAATGTGTTCCATAACGTTTTGGATGATTAAATGAGTCATTTCAGGTTGAACAAAGGTATTCTTGGCCGCCCTGTTGGTCTGTGGGGGAAATACCGCACTTGCAATTGCAGGAGCCCTCGGCCCGCACCCACAGGCTCAGAAGTCTCGCGAGAGTCGGTCTTGCTTTACGGCGAGAACTGCTACACGCCCCCAGTTAAAAGCATGCTCGTTGCTAGCACAGTGGCGATCTTTGTGCAGTTATGCTACGTTCACATCGGACGCAGCAAAATCGCGTCTGCTGCTTCATTTTTGCTGCTTGTACCAGTTAGTTCTGACGCGCAGCTGAAGCAACTTTGCTGCTCTGGCTGCGCGGTGCAAAAGTGTGTCTGACGCGCGTTGGGCGGAGCTTCACTATCCTTTCTATGCCTTGCAGCTATATTTGCTGTGATCAGTGGGAATAAAGTAGTTTTAATATGTGTTTAAGTGAGAAAATACACCTGAACACGTAATCAGTGCCGTCAGTTCATTCAGATTATCATCCTGCCTTACAATATTTTTTCTGTCGGAGCCGCTCAGACCCCCACATACCACGGTGCGCCGACAGTAGGAATCCCTTCATCAGCAGCCTCTGGCCGGGTCGCCTCCTCGCGGTTCACCGCGGCAGCTGGTAGGTGTTTTTCATCTAAATAATCCAAACTGCAGGCAGCAGGATAATAAAAGCCAACATATTCTGCCGGCAGATTTCTGCATTTTAAGTTAATTTAGGCGTCAATAAACTGTTTAAGAGGAGTGATCATAGCCTCTGATCATCAGCGCTGAGTCTCTCTCCCTGCGTCAGATGATTAAACGCGCTGCTTCTGCTGCTCAAAACGCGCCGCGGGACCTTTTGCTGCGCCTTGACGCGCGTCAACCATTGACTTTGCATGTAAACTCGCTGCTTCTGTCGCGCCTGCTTCGTCCGGTGTGAACGCAGCGTTAGTCATTTGTTGCGTTCGCCTGTCTGCTAAGCTCAAAACAACCGCGCCTGGCTTGACGGAGAAACCAGGAGAACAGCTGTGCATATTTACGACAGTGCACTTTTACTTTCGCCCTCTGGGGGGAGCCTCGCTGGAAAATCAACACCAGTTGCATAGTGTACCTTTAACTCCTAACGAGTCAGGTGTGCTGGAATCTGAGGTGGATATCTGTAGACAATCACACATCTGTTTGTATATCCAAGTAGTGGTGTGTTTAACTGTCACCAGCTGGTACCGGTTCTAGGGGTGTAAATAATAATCGTTTTGTATCGATGGATCGATCCAACAGCCGACGATTCGATGCATCGATACGTCCGCAAGATAATCGATTCATGTTTTTTTTTCCTCCGGTCTATTTTTATTCATTTGCTCCTGGGCGTAATTCTCCCTCCCGTGCTGCGGTGGCGCTAAACCTATTTTGCCCTCCTACCTCGCTTCCTGGTTATACTCTTACAGCAGTGTGTTGCAGTGAGCTTGACAATGACATTTTTAAATTATAAATATTGAAGCGTCATCTGTGCTACACACTGTGGGTCTAGATACGGCCGAGGCGGAGAGGAAGTGGGGGCGAGTTTAGTCCGACGACGGAGGGACATGAGGGCCAAAAAGGCCGGAGATCAAGGTGGAAAAAGGGTCCCAGCGTTCTCGCACACCTCGCTCTTCTAGCGGGTCAAACTTCACGAGTTGTTTTCCGCAATTTCGGTCATAAAAACAAAACAGGCCGGCCTCCTGTCTGCGGCACTGTCTGCGGTCAGCTACAATTTGGGAGAGGAGCAGCGGAGCGTCTGTGGAGGGGGCGGGACGTCTGGAGCCGAGGTATTGCATTGCCCTCATTGCACTGATTTTCTGCAGTATTTTTGCAGTATTTTTTGATGCAACTTTTCTACTTCTGTTATTTGCTGTTTCTAAAACAAAATGCATAACGATATTACAGCTTTCATTGATTTATTTCAAACTTGAAACTTTGTTTAGCCTGTAAGGTGTAAAAAATAAAATAAATTAACCGATTAATCGAATCGAATTGTGGTGTATTCTTGGGTATAGAAAATATCGAATGATGGATGTGATTTACACCCCTAACCGGTTCCAGTTCTCACTATGCAGTGTTCTTTTAAACCAGAGCTTTTTAGACAGGATGGGTATTTCAGTCAGAAATATAAAATTCCCCTAAACCGAGGCTCTCATTGCAGAGAGGAGACAATCTCTAAATTTAATCAGAGCTAGAACAGCACTAAGGTTAATATAAGGATCCCAACTGTGAATAAATCTATTTCAGTGAATAGAGGGTGTTTTCATTCAACATGTGCAAATTATTTTTGATGGTTAGAAGTGTCTCACTAGTGCAGATGCATTGCACCCATTGGACCTGATACAAACACTGGGGATGAGCTAACACACTTGCAGGTATCAGAAAGTTGTTGGTTTCATCATAAATATCCCCCCATGTAGAAATAGTCTCTCTGACTGCAGAAAAGCTCTGTTGCCATGGCTACTTTGACAGGAGGTTGGAAACCTTTGTAAAATTGCCCCCCTGCCTTTTTAAAATAAATAGAAGCCACTTGCAGCCCCATTTTATATCAGATCTCTGATTGTTCCTTATGTTTCTTACAGAGCACTTTTGATCTACAGGTTTACCGTACTAGTGGTTCCTAGAATTTCTAAAAGTAGAATTGGAGGCAGATCTTTTAGTTATCAGGCTCCTCTCCTGTAGAACCAACTACCAGTTTTAGTCCGTGAGGTAAAAACCCTGTCTACTTTCAATGCTAGGCTTAAAACCTTCCTTTTTAATAAAGGTTAGATTGGCTCAGGTTATCCTGAGCAATCTCTATAGTTATGCTGCTATAGATTTAGGATGCTGAAGGACATAGGGACCTCTTTTTATCATTCCATCTCTATTCTCCCATTCTGTGGTATTTTTTTAATTTCATCTTCGAAATTTCTGTAATTTGAACTTCTGCTGTTTTATGTTTTGCTTCTTTAAATGCTCCACTTAGTACTTTGTTTCAGTGCTTAGTCCTGTTTCATCCCTGGAAATACAATAGTTATGGGTTCACCTTTTACAGATCAGTCTGGTCTGATAAAAATCCAGATCTCCGCCTCCGCTCCAGTATTACAATTAGGGCTGCAACAACGAATCGATAAAATCGATAAAAACCCACTTTTAAAAGCGTTGGCAACGAATTTCATCATCAATTAGTTGTGTCGCGCGATTAATGCGTCATCCGCCGCAGTCGTCATCACTGCCACTTGACTGAAACGGGGGAAGAAAAAAAAATACGGCAGAGCGAGCCAGCGCCGAAGGTATAGTGTTGCCAACTCAGCGACTTTGTCGCTATATTTAGCGACTTTTCAGACCCCTCCAGCGACTATTTTTCAAAAAAGCGACTAGCAACAAATCTGGCGACTTTTTACGGTGTCACTGGCGGCTTTTGGAGACTCTTACGTGAAAGCATGTATCGTTCCTACTCCTGCACCGTGGGGCGCCTCCCCCATCCCAACCCGGTTCTCCTGCTCCCGCAGGAGTCCCTCTCAGCGCTGCAGTCAGAGCCGCATGATGTTTACCCTCAGCGTCCAGACTGCAAATGAAGCGCGCATGCGCCGGGATTGATGGCGCAAATTGATCACAATAATTAAAATAGACTGTGCTTTGTAAAGCGAAAAAAGTCGTGACATGCAACTTTTGTAAAAACAAATGAACATGGCACGGAACCACCGCTGTTATGATGCAGCAGCTGAAAAGGAAACACGTTGGAGCCTTCGATGGCAGTGAAGATAGCTGATCAGCAGGATGAGTGACCATGTTTGTTTAGTTTTAAAGTGGGGAAACGTTACGTTAGTTTCTCAGGTAGCTCATCTGATGCTTTCCTTACCTTGTTAGTAGGTTACAGACAGTGATAAGGTTGGCTACTTATTTTACTTTTAATTTCATTTGAATTAGCTTAAGCAGCGTTTAGATTTTCTTTATAAATAAATTAACTTGCAAATTATGAGGGCAAGACTTTTAAAGTTTAAATCTTCTGGCAAAGATAAAAGAAGATCCTGCAATTTATGGAAGTAAAGCAGAATAAAATCCAGCAAGATCAGTAATATGTCAATTAATTATCTGCCACATTCCCATGTAAATATCTGTCTTTGGAGGATGTGTTTTTTAGCACCCCTAGTTCTCTCATTTCTATTCCAAATACAATTTATAATTTGAATCACAGGGCTATTTTTATCTCTATGGTTGAGTATTTTCTCAAGTAGCAACTTTAACTGCTATACTTTCCTGTCTTAAAAGGCAGAACTCTTCTAGTCTAAAAAAAAACTCATTTGTTGAAATGGGGGGGCCTATTGTTTGAACCCCTTAGGGGCTTTTAAAAACAAAAATGTTTTTTTGCGCTTTATGAAACAAAGTACCCTATATTTTGTGGATGTACAGCTACATTTCTCATGTAAGTTTGCGTAGTTTTATCACAAACATTTATTTTTCATATTGCACCAGTACAGTTAATGAGCAACCTGTACTTGTGTGCTTGTTTGTTCTGTCTAAAATGTTTATTTTGGAATAAAGAGGTTAATATAAAAAATATTTTTTGTCCGATTCATCGAGTAATCGAAAAAATAATCGGCCGATTCATCGATTTTTAAAATAATCGTTAGTTGCAGCCCTAATTACAATGCTTGTAAAAAACAGTTTTAAGAGGACATTATGAGTTAATTGCACGGAACATATTTTAATCTAATAATCCATTAATTGTAAGTCTCCTATTTTTTGGCATCCTGAGTTTGAAGTGTAGAAAAAGCAGAGAAGGTTCATAAACAATCCTTACGATGAGGATGGCCACGAAGCAGGCCAGAGTGGTGTTCCAGTCTCCTCCAGTCGCTGCAGCTTTTCCAACCAGGACGCTGTAGAAGATGAAGTCTCCCAGCCCCAACTTCACGCCGCCTGTAGATACATCATCATTATCATCATCATCAGCATCAACCAGCTAGGCGCTAGGCTGCAGCGGCTTTACTCACGTTCCTCTTCCAGCTCATCTTCATGCGTCTGATTTGGTTGTCGGCTCGCAGGCACTGCCCTCCTGCTATTTAGCTCCGCCTCGTCATCTATAAGACAGAGGGTTGCCATAGAGACAGGATTTAACAGAACAAATGAAGGGGACATTCCTTAGGTGTGATGGCTGACCTGTGTCGGAGTGCTGAGCATCAGACGGATTGGCCATGGTCACAGTCCACATCATGGCGGCTGCAGAAAGGTCAACAACAGCTTAAAACAGGCTTTTTTCCTGCTGCTCAACCAATCAGAGACCTCGTTTGGACCGGTAGTTGAAATGTGGTCCATCCCTAAGATAACAGCAGAGAACTCACAGGAATAGATGAGGGCGGGGAAGATCGGCTCGTTCCGCTCCTGAGCCGTTTCCACCAGCATCCGGAGGGGTCCTTTAGGACTGAGGACGGCCACGAGGTCTGCAGCAAGGCATGATGGGAGAGTAAACAGGAAAAGAATAGACTTAGACAGCTTTTATTGAAATCCCGTTTTGTGTAGCAGTGATCAAATGTAAACGGTGTGAGAAAAAAAAAAAACATGGTGTAAAATAGATATGGAAGTTCAGAGAATTTCAAAACAGATATAAATGGTGCAAAAATGCAGTATTTGGTTTGGTGATGAGGGTCATGAGTGTTTCCTGTGATGTTTGAGGTCAGTGGAATACGACCTTCACTTTATCATTGTGTTCTGTGTTCTGTTGCTGCTGCTTTGTTTCCCTCTTTGCCAATTTGTTCTGTTAATCATGTCTTTTAGTGCTTCCTGCACTAAATGTATTACTGAGTTCTCGCCTGCATTTTGGTGAGACCATCTACTCTTCTAAATAAAGATTGTACACGATCCACACGACAGTAAGAACCAGAGACAAGATGCAAATCTTCCAGAACTTACCATAGACGGAGATGGCTGCCAGGATGACCCAGGTGGACCACTCGGGGAGGTACTTGATGAAGACCAAGGCCATGAGGGCGCTGATGACGATCAGGTAGGCCTGCTGCAGCTGCAGGGGCCCCTTCCAGTGGATGCACACCATCCCCACCGCCCCGAAGTTCCAGACGATCATAGCCACCGTCAGATAATCCACTGCTAGGTTATACGTCTTAAACACCTCACTGGCAGCACCGAAAAAACAAAAAATGATGATGATTCAGAATCGGAATGTTTCCACAATCAGGAGCTGCACCATATGAAGGAGCCGGACTATGCAGGATGCAGAAAACAAGCCTGGGATTGATCTATATTATTTGATATGCAGACAGTGATTTGCCTACATGTAATGAATGCTGGCGTACCATAAATAATAAATTATAAATAAATTATGAACAGTTCAGTTTGTGCCTTCAAGTCGATCGCCGATAGGAAGACGTTACTTGGATATAACAAAAAGGGAATATCTTCGTAACGGCTCGAAATGACACAAAACTTATATGGGTGAGTAGAACATAATGTAATAACGTAAAATCAAGGGCCCAATGTAAAAAAACCAGCGTTCCCCTTTAAAGAATGGATTCACAGTTTGCAGCCTTAGCTGCGGTGCCGCAACGTAATCGACCTTCAAACATGGGGATACATCGCGGATGTTCTGAACCGTAACACTGATCCGGAAAGAAGAAGAAGAACCAAAACTCACCCCAGATACATGAAGCTGAACCAGAAGAGCAGCATGAGGGAAGACAGGATGAGCCATCCATGGATAAACTGAGCGACAAAGAGAAGAAGAAACACAGCATCAGCCTGAAATGAACTTCAGATTCAGAACCAAAGATATAAGATGAACGGACCATCAGCCACTTCAGAGGACTAGCATCCCGGAGCTCTGCATGGAATCAGTTCTAGTTCTATGCTGGGGTTTCTGAGATCCGGATCATTTAACAGTGAGCTGGCTGACAGGTCAGATCATTCACAGACATCTCTAAACCATCCCAGCTCTATAGTGTGTATAAACTAGATGCAACCAGTCAGGCTCGGACTGGTAATCTATGATACCGACACTGGCGGGGGCCGGCCCTCCTTAAATCATACCCCAACACTTACGCTCTGGCCGAGGCACCTACCTGTGACAGTAAATAACTCAAGGAGCTCAAGAAGTAATATAATGTCAACTACTTAAATGATGCATGCAGTATAAATAGCCCTTCCTTGTCATGCACATCCATATGGGGTAATTTTCTATTTCTTCAAACTGTAAAATCCTTGCAAAAAAACTAAATTATAATAAAACTAAAATACTTTCTTTAAACCAAACTGCAATGTTCCTCTTATATTGTAGAAGCAGTTTTATTGCTTTATATATATATATATATATATATATATAAAACCTTACACATGGCCCTATACTTACTTAGCAACAAAACAGTACATGTTGAAGTTCAAGTATGAGACTTAGCAATAATCCAGTAAGCTTTCGACATTATATTCCTGTGCATGTGCAGTTATGTAATGCGATGTGGAAACTATAAATGCAGCCTGAATCGACTGAAGGTTGGGGGATAACAGGATTTTTGATGATGCGTTGCTGGATGTATGAAGTGTTTAAAGGAATTGTACACCCAAAACATGATTAGCCTTCGTTTTCTACTCACCCCCATGCTGAACAACTCTCTGGAGTACTTTTTTGATATCTCAAATGCATCTGGAGATCTGGGAGGCTTCTTGCTGTCTGCTGACATTCAAATAATGGAGGTCTATGGTGTCCGAGACAGAAAGGTCCAAAACGTCCACAAAAAACGTGTCAATATTCCTCCATACTGCTCGTCCAATGTATTCCAAGTGTCCTGAGTGGGTAGCATCCAGAATTTACTCGAAACGAAGTCATTTAGAATGTTTTTAGAGCACAAACAGTAGTGTATAGGATTTCCTAAAAGCGCGTTCACGAATCTACGGAAACCGTGGCAGACCAAACCAGATGAAAGTGCGCATTCAGCTCGGCAAAGAACTCATGCTCTTCCTCAACACTGAAGTCCTCAGACATTTTTCTTTCGTTGTTTCTTTCTTTGCACAGGTAAACAGCACATTTCTTCTTCTACGCTTGCATTATCGGCAGAGCAGACGCTGAATGCGCACTTTCATCTGGTTTGGTCTGCCGGCTTCCGTAGCGTCGTGAACGCGCTTTCAGGAAATCCTATACACTACTGTTTATGCTCTAAAAACATTCTAAATGACTTCGTTTCGAGTAAATTATGGACGCTACCCACTCAGGACACTTGGAATACATTGGACGAGCAGTATGGAGGGATATTGAAACGTTTTTTGTGGTCTTTTATGGACCTTTCTGCCTCGGGCGCCATAGACCTCCATTATTTGAATGTCAGCAGACAGCAAGAAGCCTCCCAGATCTCCAGATGCATTTGAGATATCAAAAAAGTACTCCAGAGAGTTGTTCAGCATGGGGGTGAGTAGAAAATGAAGGCTAATCATGTTTTGGGTGTACTATTCCTTTAAGACAGCTGTATGAATTCGGTTTTGTAATTAAATGTGTCCCCCCCTCTGGATGATAAAATGGTGTGAATCGTGGCCTTCTTTCTGTCATAAGGGAATTCTACCAATGAGCTTCCATAATATTTAGTGAGTTTATGTTAGAATATTTTACAAAAACAGGTTGTGGTGCATGATGGGGTTTTGCATCTAAAGGCTAACATTTCCTGTCTTTGTTGCCAGGTTGGGATGTTTCCCCATGCAGGTTAGGATGGCCGTCTATGAGTAAAAAATTTTTTTCTTTAGACTTATGGCCTAAGAGATCAACAGATTTTGGGTCAAATCGGGCGAGATTTCGTCAAGTGACGGCGCTGTGTGTGTGAGCGGGTGTCTGGCCGGCTTTGTGCAGGTGTGGACGTTACGCAGCAGCAGTCACTGTGGCGTCCGTGTTAATAACCAAAGCCAGTAAAACCGCATTATAGAAGTCATGGTGATGCATGAAGATAGATCGGATAATCCACCGTGTATTCGAATTGTGTTTCACATTTGAGACGCACGCGTTTGACTGTGCTTCTATTTTTTTTTTTCAGAGTGGGGGGTGATTATTGGGTCCATAAGTGGGCCGTTTTAGAAGGAAAAATACCAGGGCCAACAATCGTTCCCAATCCGAACCTGTGACCAGTTCATCCACACCACTGCTAAAACAGGGAGCATACAGGATTATGGATTGTGGTTGCTGAACTGATCTAGATCTGCTGGTTCTACCTTGTAGCAGCGGTACTTGTAGAGGACCACCAGCAGGATGGTCATGACTACGATGACGCTGATCATGATGATGGTGTTCAGCACGGAGTTCAGCAGCCGACGGCCCACGTTCGGGGTGTCCTCTGTGAAGGGCGTGTAGATCCTGCAGACAACAAGGCATGCATCAGATGTGAGACCACACTGCAAAAATTATCTAGAAATAAGTAAAAAATTCTTAAATCAAGTTTATTTACCCTTAAATTTAGTAGGTAAATGGGATGATTTGCCAATGGAATGAGTATTTTTACTCTTTAAATAAGATAATTAGATAATATGCAGGTGCTTTTTCTTATTTTAAATGTAAATTGTAGGGATGCACGATATTGGGATTTTGGCCGATATCCGATATGCCGATATTTTAAAACTCATGTAGCCGATAACCGATATCGATACTGATGTTAAAGCTGGACAAAAATAAGTAGTCATTGAAAATAGCAGTTTTGTTATCCATTTCTGACACTTTGAAAGATAATATACTCAAATATATTTTCATATGCTGATATCAAATTGATTTTTAAAAACGTGGTATCGATCTATTTTACTTTCAAAATCTCATGAAATTTCATCGTTCCGTTTCAAACTCTCGTGATATTTTGCAAATTCTTGTGAGATTTTGTTAGTAAAATAGATCGATACCGCGTCAATATATCAACATATAAAAATATGGCAAAATTTCATGAATTTTCGGGGGATTTCGTAGCATAACGATGACATATAGCAATATTTCATTAGTAAAAGAGATTGATATGGTGTTTTTAAATGGCAATATATCAGCATATGAAGATATTGTGATATTTTAATGTATCAATATTTTTTCCCTCGTCTTTAGGAGTTTTTAAGTCTGTAAAAAAAAGTTTTTGAGGAAGAAGAAGTAGTATTATTTTATTTTTTGTAGACTTTAGAAACTCAGAAGCTGATCAAATATCGGGTTAAATATCGGTGGGGTGGCCGATGTCCGATATTAAGTTTTAAGGCCGATACCGATAGGGGGCCGATTATATCGTGCATCCCTAGTAAATTGTCTTGTTCCATTGGCAAAGTGTCTCACTTACCTCCTCAATTCAAGAACAAATGCACTTATTTTAAGAAACAAACGATTTATTTAGATTTCCATTTTTTCAGTGCAGAACCGGGACCTACAGCTGCTGGGTGGTCTTCTCAGAGTAGAAGCCGATGGACTTGATGGTTGTGACCACAACCACCATGCAGAGGGTGACGGGGACGAACAGCATGATGACATGCTTTGCTCCGTACTTTAGGGAAAGCTCCTCCTCCTCCTCCTCGAGCTCCGCCTCCTGATCCAAACCACCGCAGCCACCTGGACGAGTCCGCCTTCCAAACCCCGCCTAGAGCAACACATAACAGAAGTCATCTGGAAAAAACGTATCAGTTAGAAACGAAGAAATCAGAAGCAGACAAATTACCGCTTTACTGTGGGAGTCCTCTGTTGGGCTGTGGTCCAAGTCCGGTATGTAAGACGGAACCGCGGGGTTCTCTGATGGAACCAGAGCCGTCCGCTCATTGTAGAGCTCCTCATCACTGTCCGATGCACTCATGGCTGCAAACAGAAGGGGGTTTGTTTAGGAGGACTCATCTGCAGAAGCTGCTCAGTGACGCAGTGGGTGGCACTGCTGCCTTGAGGCAAGAAGGTTCCAGGTTCAATTCCCTGCCCGGGTTCTTTCTGCATGGAGTTTGAATGTTCTCCCTGAGCATGTGTGGGTTCTCTCCAGGTATTCCAGCTTCCTCACACAGTTCAAAACCATGACTGTTAATTGGCCTTAAATTCTCCTTAGGTGTGAGTGTGTGCATGGTTCTATGTCCTGTTTGTCGTTGCCCTGGGATAGAATGGCGACCTGCACAGGGTGAACCCCGCCTCTCGCCCATAGACAGTGGCGGTTCTAGACCAAATGTACCAGGGGGCCAGGAGGGGGCCAGCATGTTTTTCATGATATGTGTCAGATGTTAACCATCTCCCAGTACGGTAGTTTTTATTGTTGGGAAAGTACAATGATCGCAAAAAATTACTTTAAAATCACTGACATTCGCTGAAAACGACCCACAAGCGTTGCCGGAGCCATTTTTGTTGTTTTATACACACGTGATTTGGAAAAGGTGCGTGATTTAAAAAAGCCGGGTGATTTTCCGCCAGATGACGTGATACCAAAACGAATAAAACAAGCAAGAAAGCGCTATCATATAGCAGTCTTCTGTACAGTGATGCCGGTCATACATTAAAAAAGTTTCATTAATTTTTTTTCTCTCAGACATTGGAGAGGTGCATTTAAATTTTATAGAGCTAAACATGTTAAATTGGTGACCTGTTATGTTATTATTATTGTCTTGTTGCTGCATTTATTTTAAAAACTAATCCTGAGTCAGTTAAAAGTCAGGGAATTCTGAAATGATGTCAGACTGTGGAAACCCTGTATAAAATAGCTATGTATAATGATTCTCTAGAAAAGTCACATTATATCAATAGTATTATCTTCTATAAACATACCGTGACTCTAAAATAAAAGTTATACATTTGTGACATTGGCTTCTGTCTTGTGATTTATCTTAAGTTTTTAACCTGTCAAGTTTTTTTGTAGATTTTTAACATTACAGTTTATATTTTTCCAAGCACACAACAGTTTAAAGCAAAGTTTAGTTTGAAAAGAATGTGCAGGAAGGATTGAAAAGCATGTTAACACGGTAATGTAGGCTTGAGTTCATTATCTGACGCATGCAGATACACACCAGGAATCTGGAAACATTTAAAAAACAAACATGTTTCATTGATATATATACAAAAATGAATATTAGGAACTATATTTATCAAACATTATACTGGGCAAGTAAAAATGGTTTCTGGGCAAATGAAATGCGAAAGTCACTTGCCCGAAAAATCCTTAACGTCAACCCCTGTGTGTGTTTTTGAAATATATTAAGAGAGCTGCATGAAGTGAAATTTCTATACAATTAGGTTTAACTAAAATTATATTTCTTATTAGGTCAATATACATTCATTTTTACAAAAGAGGGTTAGGGCCACTGAAAAAAAAATAAAGTTAACTGATTTTTAAATTTTATTTCAGTTTAATATGGGGAAAAAAGTCAGAATTCTGACTTTATTCTCAGAATTCTGACTTTTTTCTCAGAATTCTGCCAGCTAACAAACATGTTAGCATCAAGGCATAGCCATGTCTGTTTTAGAGACTAGCTCTCTTGTTTTAATGACTTTCTGCTCCTCCATTAAAGGAATAGTACACCCAAAACACGAGCGCACTTTCATCTGGTTTGGTCTGCCGCGGTTTCCGTAGACTCGTGAACGCGCTTTTAGGAAATCCTATACACTACTGTTTATGCTCTAAAAACATTCTAAATGACTTCGTTTCGAGTAAATTATGGACGCTACCCACTCAGGACACTTGGAATACATTGGACGAGCAGTATGGAGGAATATTGACACGTTTTTTGTGGACTTTTATGGACCTTTCTGCCTCGGGTGCCATAGACCTCCATTATTTGAATGTCAGCAGACAGCAAGAAGCCTTCCAGATCTCCAGATGCATTTGAGATATCAAAAAAGTACTCCAGAGAGTTGTTCAGCATGGGGGTGAGTAGAAAATGAAGGCTAATCATGTTTTGGGTGTACTATTCCTTTAAGACAGCTGTATGAATTCGGTTTTGTAATTAAATGTGTCCCCCCCTCTGGATGATAAAATGGTGTGAATCGTGGCCTTCTTTCTGTCATAAGGGAATTCTACCAATGAGCTTCCATAATATTTAGTGAGTTTATGTTAGAATATTTTACAAAAACAGGTTGCGGTGCATTATTTGAATGTCAGCAGACAGCAAGAAGCCTCCCAGATCTCCAGATGCATTTGAGATATCAAAAAAGTACTCCAGAGTGTTGTTCAGCATGGGGGTGAGTAGAAAATGAAGGCTAATCATGTTTTGGGTGTACTATTCCTTTAATGAGGGGACCCCTCGGGCACGTAAAAAGACGCCTATTTCCATTATTTTCCACCAATGTGTCACTGGCCACCTCAAACAACTCACATCTGAGTTGTTGTGAAGCTGAGTGTTCCCACATCTCTTCCTTCATGGTGCCCATCTACATTAAGATCCAAAATTCTGAGATTAAAGTCAGAATTCTGAGAAAAAAGTCAGAATTCTGAGATTAAAGTCACTTTTTCCCCATGTTAAACTGAAATACAATTTAAAAATCAGTTAACTTTTTTTTTTTTTTCCCCAGTGGCCCTAATACTCTTCCGTACATTTTTGACCTAATTTAAGCTAAAGTGTTTTGAAAACAACATTTAGCAGATGATAGCTAGTATCCTATCTCAATACCACTGAACCTATCACTTTATTGTTTTTAAATAATTAGTAAAGCATAATTTTTAAAGATAAAAAATTTAATAGATCCAAAGGACCTATCAGTAACCATGTCTATTCCAGCGCATATCATCATTAGAATTTCTTTAAGTTTTATGTCTTCAGTGCAGGGGCCATAACATGATCTACAGGGGCACTGGCCCCCATTGGCCCCTGTCTAGAACCGCCCATGCCCGCAGACAGATAGGCACCAGCACCCCTCACAGGGATAAGGGTAAAAAATGGATGGATGGACTCATCTGCAGAGATCTGAAATCTATTTATTTGCACCAGTAAATTCCACAGAACCAAACAGGAAGAGCACTGCCACCCCTACAAGAACCTGCAAATTAAATCTGAGGTTTTTCTTAAAACAGATCCAATCCTTTACTATCTGCTCAAAGAACTGGATCAGATCTGTTCCAATAGAAGCAGTCCAGTTTGCTGAAACAGAACCAGTCCTGTGCATTCTACTCTAATGGATCCCGCAGAACCTGTTCCTCCCTGCTTAAACAAACCCAAACACTTTCAGGTCAGGTTTACACTGAGCCAACTTTTTCTCTGCTACCAAACCGAACTCAGATGCTTCTGACCAGCATATTGTGTGCTAATAAATGTAGAACAACAAACCTGGGTTGTATCGGATCGGCTCTGAAAAGAAAGTCCGAAAAATCTGAAGTGAACACAGAGAAACAAAAAAAAAGAAAATAAATCCGGAACAACAGCGGTCAGCTGATCCGAGCCGGCCACGTGATAATCTCACATGACGTCACCCCAACTCGATCGCTTCACACAACCGAAATTGATAACAAATAATGAATCAAACTCTCTTAAATGTGTTTTCAAATCTAAAATGATATACCTCATTAAATTATGTCATTGCATTACATCAGCTTTTGTAACAGCGCCGCCTGTACATCCGCTCCTTAAAACACCAGCAGACCCGGACCTCTGCCGCCCTCTGCTGACCGCACAGAGTACTGTCGGCCTCAGCGCTCTGCAATGCTTGGCTCTTCCAAAAGGTGGCAGCATTGGGTCGTTTATTGTCACAACAAAATAAGGATTTGCTTTTATAGAAGCCTGTTTTGATCAAAGGACCGGTTGCCTCCAATTTAGAACTGCTTTTAGCAAGGAGATGAGTTTTGATGAAGGTCACGGATTAAATCAAATTTTACATCATTATCATTTTATATTATCAACCTCACATCTGAAGATTTTTACCACCTTCATATTACACAGAAAACTCTTCATGGTATAATAAAATGGTTTATGCAGTGCTTTACTTCAAAAACCTACATCTTAATGAGACAAAAACAATCTCTCCCACAATCTGGGGAATCTGCTTAATATTAATGGTGTAATAGCCCAATAAATGTATGGCCCCTGGTTCCATCCTTAGCAAAAAGTAGTTTATTCAAGTATTGTAAAAGTGCACTAATTTCATACTTAAAATCAGGCAGTGCACAGTATTCTTAATAGAATTTACTTTAAGTATACTACTTTGCTAAGGGCATGGATCCCCAAATCTAACACCTGATTGGTCTCCCTGCACATTAAGGCGAAGCAAATCGATTACAGAGACTCGATTCGCGTTAACCCTGCCCCCTAACTTTGATGGGTGAGTTTGACAGATTCTTTTAATGGTTTCGATGCACTGCGACACAGGACCATGAAATAATTAAATGCACACTTGAAATAATTATATATATATTTTTTATAAAATGAAGACGTATTTTATTAAATTAATGACACATTTCCATATATAATTCCTTATTTATTTAATGAATTCCACATTTAATTAATTGTTTATCACTGTATTTATTTATTTCTTTAATTGTGGCACTTTATATTAGTGACGTGGTTTTAATTAATGAATGACACATTTATATATTTAATTCCACATTTAATTAATTATTGACACATTTCATTATTTATTTAATGCTGTATTTATTTAATTTTGGCACTTTTTATCCTCCATACTCCACAGGGGTGGTCAATGATTGCCTAAAGATTGCCATGGCCACCCCTGCCCTCCTAGCTCCGCCCCTGCACAGGCTAAATTGTTGGGGAAAGGCTGGTTATTCATTAATATTTGAATTGTACATAGACTACCTCTAATTTTATCCTCAATATCAGAATGACCATTTTACTGTACTTCCCGCGTAATTTTAAGGCTTTATGCTTTATTTCTATAGCTAATGAAAAGAGGAAGACCCCACCCACAACAGCTCGTCATTTCTGCTTCCCGACAGAACCGCGCCCTTCGCTTTCCCAGGTTCTGACCCAGAATTAAAAGTATTCTGCTGCTCGGACTAGAAGCTCCAGCTTGGGTCCCATAAATGACCTGAGCGGAAACCTCCACCTTCAACAGGTAAGAGGTCAGGTGATATGCGCGCGACAGAACGCGCCCTGCGTCGCGAGCGCGCACGGAGTAGGAAGAGCGGATCCAGTAGCACGCGCCTCATTTCCTACAAGTAAAGGATGAGGGTGTGGTGAAAAAAGTTTCTTATTTATTGAAATCACTCGTTTATTTTGTTTATTAAGCGGTTAACCCTGAAATTAACCAAATCAATCCCAACTAGAAAACGTTTCCGGTTTCTTTTCCAAATGTCTGACAGATTTGTCTCTTAGACTGAAAACTGAAAACAAAAACTCAAAAGCTGCTGGATTTATTATGTTTCAGAGCTAGATATGGATTTTATGAGGAAAGAGATCCTAAATGCTATAAACACGCCAACTTTTTATTTAGACCTGTCGCTTCATGCAATCTGTCAGGTATATGTCAGGCTATAGTGATGTAAAAGTTTAACAATGATTATTATCATTACCCTGATTTAAATAAATACTTTCATACTTTAAAACTGGAAAAAAGTTGTGGATGCTAAAGAATTAAATTTTTTTAAGTGGTTTTCTGCAGGTTTTCACTGCTGTTGTGACTATTTTATTATTCGTAAAGAGTTTCTCATCACTGATGATTATATAATTAGGAGCTATAAAAGTTCTATCTAGTATAAAACTAAGAATCCGAAACAGAAAGATTGATAATGAAATGGAATATAAAATAAAAAAAACACATAATCCAGTTACAATGACACTATTTATATAATAAAAAGATAAATAATGGAGTCATCATTAAATGTCACCTATAAAAGAAAATAATATTTGACAGCTAAGTTAAAGGCATAAATAGATCAGCGGGATATTACTGGCTTTGCTGCTGGAGCATTTCAGTGGATGTTTCTTATGGATCATGAAGAAATTTACCAAACATCCTTCTTGTATTGGTATTGGCCGATAAGAGCATTGATTCATTAGTGCATGCAATGCGGCTCCCTCTATCTGCCATCCAATGGTTACCTGTTAAAGGGGTCAAAGAATGATTATATAGGGCAGAGATCACGGATTAGCAGACCGTTGCAGAAGCATATACCAGCAAAACTGGTTTGTGACCAGACACAAGCGACATTTGATGTGTGCGGTTGCAGGCGTATAAATCTGCCCTTTAGACACAGCAGGCAAACCTGTGGAAAGCCAGGAGATGGGAAAGAAGGAGAAGACGATGAGAAAAAGTGACAGAAAGTGTGTGGACTGTTGGAAGAACTGCGGTGACAGAAAAGTGAAATGGAGTGATAGATAGATAGATAGATAGATAGATAGATAGATAGATAGATAGATAGATAGATAGATAGATAGATAGATAGATAGATACACTCACCGGCCACTTTATTAGGTAGCCCATGCTAGTAACGGGTTGGACCCCCTTTTGCCTTCAGAACTGCCTCAATTCTTCGTGGCATAGATTCAACAATGTGCTGGAAGCATTCCTCAGGGAGTTTGGTCCATATTGACATGATGGCATCACACAGTTGCCGCAGATTTGTCGGCTGCACATCCATGATGCGAATCTCCCGTTCCACGACATCCCAAAGATGCTCTATTGGATTGAGATCTGGTGACTGTGGAGGCCATTTGAGTACAGTGAACTCATTGTCATGTTCAAGAAACCAGTCTGAGATGATTCCAGCTTTATGACATGGCGCATTATCCTGCTGAAAGTAGCCATCAGAAGTTGGGTACATTGTGGTCATGAAGGGATGGACATGGTCAGCAACAATACTCAGGTAGGCTGTGGCGTTGCAACGATGCTTAATTGGTACCAAGGGGCCCAAAGAGTGCCAAGAAAATATTCCCCACACCATGACACCACCACCACCAGCCTGAACCGTTGATACAAGGCAGGATGGATCCATGCTTTCATGTTGTAGATGCCAAATTCTGACCTACCATCCGTGTGTCGCAGCAGAAATCGAGACTCATCAGACCAGGCAACGTTTTTCCAATCTTCTATTGTCCAATTCCGATGAGCTTGTGCAAATTGTAGCCTCAGTTTCCTGTTCTTAGCTGAAAGGAGTGGCACCCGGTGTGGTCTTCTGCTGCTGTAGCCCATCTGCCTCAAAGTTCGACGTACTGTTCGTTCAGAGATGCTCTTCTGCCCACCTTGGTTGTAACGGGTGGTTATTTGAGTCACTGTTGCCCTTCTATCAGCTCGAACCAGTCTGGCCATTCTCCTCTGACCTCTGGCATCAACAAGGCATTTCCGCCCACAGAACTGCCGCTCACTGGATGTTTTTTCTTTTTCGGACCATTCTCTGTAAACCCTAGAGATGGTTGTGTGTGAAAATCCCAGTAGATCAGCAGTTTCTGAAATAGTCAGACCAACCCTTCTGGCACCAACAATCATGCCACGTTCAAAGTCACTCAAATCACCTTTCTTCCCCATAGTGATGCTCGGTTTGAACTGCAGGAGATTGTCTTGGCCATGTCTACATGCCTAAATGCACTGAGTTGCCACCATGTGATTGGCTGCTTAGAAATTAAGTGTTAACGAGCAGTTGGACAGGTTTACCTAATAAAGTGGCCGGTGAGTGTAGATAGATAGATAGATAGATAGATAGATAGATAGATATGGACAAAAATTTTGCACCGCCTCGTTTATGGAAAGAAAACCCCACAATAGTCACCAAAATAACTTGAATTTGACAAAAGTAATAAATAAAAATTCTATGCAAATCAACAATTGAAATCAAGAAAATGCTCTTCAACCCTGCTTCAACAGAATGTTTTAAAAATAAACTAATCAAACAGGCCTGGATTAAAATGATAGTTCCCCCCGAAAAGGGACCAAAGGTACATGTAAAATCAAGGTGTATCTACTAATTCGCATTACTGGTTTCTACAACCTAATAATCACTCATTGGGCCCATATATAGGAATACATGTAGTCAATGCCTTTTGGTGACATGGTGTTTACCACACTCTACATGGACCAGATGAAGAGAAGCAAAGGGTTGTCTCAGGAGATTAGAAAGGAAAATTCTAGAGCAGTTTGTTAAATTTAAAGTCCGTTAGACCATCTGCAGCTTAATGTTCTTGTGCCAACAGCTACACATATTATTCAGAAGTTCAAGTTCCATGGACTCTAGCCAACATCCCAACATCCCTGGCTGCGGCTGCAGGAGGAAAATGGTGATAAAGCAAAGAGACAGATATATAATTCAAGGCAAAGTGGACTTAATGGGAGGACACCACTGATGGAAGCAAATCATAAAAAAAATTGACAAACTACTTGTTGACAAGCCACAAAGCATCTGGTAGAATGTCATATGGAAAGATAAGTCAGAGACCTTTTTACAAAGGCAAATTAGCTCTATGTTCGCAGACAGAAAAACGAAACACGTAAAGAAAAGACCATTGTTCCTACTGGGAACCATGGAGGAGGCTCAGTTATGCTCTGGGCTGCTCTACTTCATCTGGCACAGTGCGTTTGTATCTCTACAGTGTCAAATTAAATCTCTAAACTATCAAGGATTCTAGAGAGAAATGTGCTGCAGTGTCTAATAGTTTGGTCTCAGTTGCAGATCATGAGTCTTCTACAGGATAATGAGCCAAAACGCACAGCTAGAAACAGCCAAGAACGGCTGAGAGGAAAACATTGGACTGTTCTAAACTGGACTCTAGGATCCTGGACCTAAATCCTATTGAGCATCGACTCTAAAGGACGAGCAACAAAAGATTAAGTTCAGGAAACCATCGTTTTTGTTCAGGCCTGTTTCATGAGTTGATTTAAAATCATCCTGTTAAAACATGGTTGAAGAAACTGACATCTATTTTTTAGTTCTCATAGAAATGTTGTTTATTATTAATTTAGTCCTGTTCAAGTTATTTCTTTGACCTTTTCTTTCATTTAATGAGGAAAAAAAAACTATTTTGTTTGCGTTTTTTTAGTGAATTGCATGTGATTTAAACTGTTTGCAAGTGAGAGATGCAGAAATGTTTTTGTAAATAACATTTGGATACGTAAAATTTTGTGTCTGTGTTTTCGATCAGAAAAAAAGGAACAGCTGATTCGGGTTAAACTTCCTGTTTTCTATGCTTGTTTTTAGGTAATCTAACATACCGACAATCAGTGGGTGTTTCCAGGTCTGCAGCCCTCCCTCTGTGAGCAAAAGAGGCCTTAAGTTTGGAATCCAACCTGTCAGCTAGCCTGTTGAATTTACTCTCTCAGATTGCAGACAGGTCCTCTGCTCACCCTCCACTGCAGGGATGCTGAACGATGAACTGACCCCAGGTGAGATAGCAGCTTACATGCTCTCTCATTCACTCTAACTCCACCAATAGACTTTGCACCTGGCTCCACCCTGACATATTTGCCCTGCGCCCATCTTCAGCTACGCCTCCTTTCCTCTGCATGAACTCATGCACACATGTTTGGCGTGTTAACGGTTAGTGACCCTGTAGTCAACGGATTCATTAATCCTTTGATGGTTATTATAGCAAATATGCAGGAAAAACTGTGTTACGCAAACAGGCTAGATAGAGTGTGCATTCCCCCAGTGCCAGTTTTTACATCTTCAGTGTGGGGCTAGGAACCTTTGGCAAAAACTTGTTTCTTGTTTTCTATATCTATATGTATATAGGAAGTTTGGCTAAGACAGAAATACTCACTTGGGTGTTAAGTCCTTTTATGACCTACATTCGGAGATTGACGCATTTTTTTTGAAAGCTTATTGTTACATAGATTTTGGAGAATATTTGAAAAGACCTGCCCTCTCCACTTGCACATGCACAACACTAGGGATGCACGATATTGGGATTTTGGCCGATATTTTAAAACTCATGTAGCCGATTAACAATATCGATACTGATGTTAAAGCTGGACAAAAATACGTAGTCATTGAGAATAGCAGTTTTGTTATCCATTTCTGACACTTTGAAAGATAATATACTCAAATATATTTTCATATGCTGATATCACATTTTTAAAAACGCGGTATCGATCTATTTTACTTTCAAAATCTCGTGAAATTTAATCGTTCTGTTACAAACTCTCGTGATATTTTGCAAATTCTTGTGAGATTTTGTTAGTAAAATAGATCGATACCGCGTCAATATATCAACATATAAAAATATGGCAACATTTCGTGAATTTTCGGGGGATTTCGTAGCATAACGATGACATATAGCAATATTTCATTAGTAAAAGAGATTGATATGGTGTTTTTAAATGGCAATATATCAGCATATGAAGATATTGTGATATTTTAATGTATCAATATTTTTTCCCTCGTCTTTAGAAGTTTTTAAAGCTACAGTGTGTAATAATTACAGGGATATACAGTCAGAAATGTAATATATTATACATTACTATGTTATTTATCATCATCTACGAGTTCAGCCTCTTAACCTTAATATTTGCGTTGCCTTAGAATTCGTTATTTATAATTACATAGGAGCGGGTCTCGCAGCCATGGAGGCAGACATCTTTGCGCTACGGCAGCGCAGAGCTGCGATTACTAGCGATTGCGAGATCGCCAAAATGTCACAACGATGTAGAAAAAATAACGGGTATATTTACTATCTTAAGTCTACATGAAATCTATACCCTACACAGACTAATGAAATATTATCTGTAAAATTATCTATGTAAACAAACCACATCACTTGAGAAGGTAGGGGATGCGGACGTCGTGGAAGACATTTTGTCCTGTAACGCTCGCCGTACTGTTGGGGGGGAGAAGCGGGGGGGGAGGGATGTTCATGTTGCTGCAGTCTGCAGTCTGACGCTAGATGTCGCTAAAAGTTACACACTGTAGCTTTAAGTCTGCAAAAAAAAGTTTTTGAGGAAGAAGTAGTATTTTTTTTTTTTTTTTTTTTTTAGACTTTAGAAACTCAGAAGCTGATCAAATATCGGGTTAAATATCGGTGGGGTGGCTGATGTCCGATATTCAGTTTTAAGGCCGATACAGGCCGATACCGATAGGGGGCGATTATATCGTGCATCCCTACACAACACTGTACCGGCTCCCGAGAGGGAAAGCCTATTAAATGCATGCAAGAGTATGCACAAGCCCATTTCTCCTTGTGCACGTTCTGTTTAAAAGTTGCTCTTTGCATCGCTCATACAAGCTTACTTTCCAAAAGAAGATTTGCAATTTTTCCACCATGTCAGACTCACAACCAGTAAGTGAAAATGGGGACGCACACGTAGGACAGCCTTATGTAAACATATCACCAGAATGATTAACAATTAGGAGGACCATTTATTTGATGATCCACCTGGAAAATCCTCCACTATACCTTTAAGTTACTACAGTTATTTAGGTTTGTTGCATATTTACTACCTTAGGCTAATGTGCTAATGTATGCTAAGTCCTTCACAGTCTTAAACGTCAACCCGGTTCAACGAGCCAAGCAGAGAGGTCTAACATCTCATTAAATGATACTAGAATCTATTAATATAATTTCCAATTCCTGTTGCAAATCAACAAGTGTATACAATCATTGTATATGGAATACTTCAGCGGTTCATAGAACCCGAGAGGACAGCTGTCCCTTTGGTCCTGTTCTGATTGGAACCTGCTGGACTCTGTGTTCGGATATCTAACAGACAGTTTCTCATGTTTTCCAGCAGACCCTTGTGATCTTACCTTGGACCCAGAGACGGCCAACAGCTGGCTCCTTCTGTCTGAGGATCTGCAGAAGGTCACTGTTTCCGATCGCTGGCTGAACTACCCGGACAACCCTCAGAGGTTCAACGCAGAGCTGCAGGTTCTGTGCAGTCATGGTCTGACAGGGCGCCATCGCTTCGACGTAGACTGGATGAGCGCCGATAACCGCCACACCGTTGGGGTTGGTTTGGCATATAAAAGTATTCCCAGGAAAGGAACGGCCCGAGCTCCATTTGGGCGGAACCGGGTCTCCTGGTTCTTTGCTTTAGAGAGAGATGCTCTGAATGCGTGGCATGATGGTGAGATGTGGAGCTACAATGTACCTAATGAAGGATTCGAAAAAGTTCGGGTGTGTTTAGATTATGAAGAGGGGGTTCTGTCGTTCTACCTGGTATCTGAAGACTCAGTGGATCATGTTCACACCTTCAGAACCAAATTCACTGAAGCTCTTTACCCTGGTCTTTGTGCTCGCTTTACCTCCAGCTACGCTGCTTTCTGTAACGTCAGCCAGACACCCAAGACGCCTGCAGAGCCTCCCCCAAATCACCCTTAAACCGGGCCTGATCCAACAGGCTGCATCCCTTTAAGCCAGAAGGTTAGATCTCTGCTATGGAGGATAAAAAGTGCCAAAATTAAATAAATAAATACAGCATTAAATAAATAATTAAATGTGTCAATAATTAATTAAATGTGGAATTCAATAAATAAATGTGTCATTCATTAATTAAAACCACGTCACTAATATAAAGTGCCACAATTAAATAAATAAATACAGCGATAAACAATTAAATGTGTAATTCATTAAATAAATAAGGAATTAAATAAATAAATGTGTCATTAATTTAATAAAATACATCTTCATTTTATTAAAAAATATATATATAATTATTTCAGTGTGCATTTAATTTTTTATTGGTCCTGTGTCGCAGTGCATCGAAACCATTAAAAGAATCTGTCAAACTCACCCATCAAAGTTAGGGGGCGGTTATCTAACACCTGATTGGTCACCCTGCACATTAAGGCGAAGCAAATCGATTACATAGACTATGATCCACAGGTTGTGAACATACTCTGAAACAGTAGGTGGCGACTCGATTCGCGTTAACCCCGCCCTCTAACTTTGAAGGGTGAGTTTGACAGGTTCTTTCAATGGTTTCGATGCACTGCGACACAGGACCATGAAATAATTAAATTCACACTGAAATAATTATATTTTTTAAATAAAATTAAGACGTATTTTATTAAATTAATGACACATTTATATATTTAATTCCTTATTTATTTAATGAATTACACATTTAATTAATTGTTTATCGCTGTATTTATTTATTTAATTGTGGCACTTTATATTAATGACGTGGTTTTAATTAATGAATGACACATTTATTTAATTACACATTTAATTAATTATTGACACATTTAATTATTTATTTAAAGCTGTATTTATTTATTTATTTAATTTTGGCACTTTTTATCCTCCATACTCTACAAATCTAACCCGGTGATAAACAAGGAGAGCATTCAAAATCCATGCAGAACAATCCCAGGTTGGGAATTGAACACAGCCTGCTCAAGGCAACAGTGATACAAACTGCAGCCCAGGAAAAAATATTTTCAAATGATTGTTTAAGGTCCTATAGCCTGGTTTTTTATACAATACTAAATCAACTATACTTATAAATGATGAAATATTTCCTTTGATTCCTTTATTACATTTATAACTCATGAAATATTACCTATTAGCTGCCAAGTAAAGCACATTTTTGTTGAGCGTTGCTCAAATGAGGCCAGTTGATGGAAAGTAACATTAATATAAGCTTTTTGAAGCCAAAAGAAAAAAAATTGGAAAGGTTAAATGTCTACAAAAATGTTGTTTGCATGATATCGCCCCTTTAATGTTAACATTCTAATTGATTTGCGAGACCAATCATCTATGGTGTTTTTGCCAGCGCATACCATCCTAAGAAACTGGTTTAATATTATTTTTTTCCATTATAGGGGCCACAAGAGGGGCCTGGACCAGTTCTATAGGGGCACTGGCCCCCGTTGGTCCCTGTCTAAAGCCTCCTTAGATCCCAGTTTGTTAAAGGTATACTATGCAACCGGTGTCGATTTTCCAGCGAGGCTCCCCCCAGAGGGCGAAAGTAAAAGTGCACTGTCGTAAATATGCTCAGCTTTTCTCCTGGTTTCTCCGTCAAGCCAGGCGCGGTTGTTTTGAGCTTAGCAGACAGGCGAACGCAACGAATCACCACGTCTACTGCGGTAAGTGACTATTTTGTTCCAATTTTCGAGTTTGAAAATTTAGCATGTTTTCATACATTATTTGTTATGCATGTGTCTAAATAACAAAGATTGTAGTTAGCCAAGTTATCGCCGTAAAGCAAGACCGACTCTCGTGAGACTTTTGAGCCTGTGGGTGCGGGCCGAGGGCTCCTGCAATTGCAAGTGCGGTATTTCCCCCACAGACCACCAGGGCGGCCGAGAATACCTTTGTTCAACCTGAAATGACTCATTTAATCATCCAAAACGTTATGGAACACATTAATTAACTGAAAAATGTTGCATAGTATGCCTTTAATTGAAAACACTGATTGACACACAACTGAAGACAGGGGCCTGGAGACAGTGGAGCAACAGGAAAAAGATTATTATGTCCATAGCACATTTTTAATAAAATTTTAAATGTGTAATGTACATAAGTAAATAATGTCCCTGCACTTTTTACTTTTTGTAGTTGTTTTTCTGGCAGTTTTGTGTTTTTGAGTTACTCTCTGTTGCCCCCTTGTGCCTGTTTCCTTTCCCTTTGGCTCCCTTCTAGTTAATCCTTTTCACACCTGCTCCATATTAGCTCATTAGTCCATTGTTTGTTCTGTTCCCCATATATACACCACCTCTGCAGTTCCTCATTGCTGGTTTGTTGTTATGTTACTTTGTTGTTTCTTTGCTTCCCCCTGTGTGTTTTCCTTGATGTTTAGTGGATTTTTTTTTTTTGCTTTTCAGTCTTTTATGTTTTTGGACTTTACTTCAGGTGTCTGTGGGATTCCTTATTAAATCAACAAAACTCATCTCTGCCTCCCCATCTCTGCATTTGGGTCTTCAAAAACCTCCACCAAACCTTGACATTACTTAAGTAAAGGAGTTTTTTTTTTACACATGTATTTCATCATTTTGCTTTAGTAAAGAATATGAATACTTTTGACACCTCTGCTTCCGGACAGGTTTCCTGTAATCTCAAATGCGCGACAGACTCAGGATAAGTTCAACAAAATCAGAGTTGAGTCACTGAGTAACTTGACTCACGATAATGTTATCCAGCTTTCAGAAACCAAAACCTAGGATATGTAAAAATCTACCACAGAATTTATCCTGGTTCTCACTGGACAGATAAACATAAAAAAATAATTCCTGACTTGTTTTTTTGCTCCACCGTGAGCTCAGACAGATCCTATAGAGCCGCTGGGTCTAACTGGTACCTCCTGATCTGTTCTGAAATCCAGTTCAACCCTTGACTCGACCCGAGCTGCTGCAGCTGTGCAGTAAACTAGGCTGATCCCCCCACTCCCCAAGCTTCTCATCACTTTTTAATATGCTGCATCTAAAAAAAAAAAACCTCGGCCCAGATTGGAGTTGGGTCACTGAGATTCAGAGCCAGTGGTCCAAAGCTCTGAATCTCTCTGCAGAGATGGAGCGCTGATTACTGCTCAGAACATCAAACACAAACCAGGCCCTTAGAAATTCAGCTGTTTGTTCCAGATACAGAACCAGACTGCTAATGTTGGCTTTTAACAGCATTAATCTTCACTGATGTAAGAAAAAACATTCCTGTTTCCAGATGGTAACATTTATTCCTTAAAGTTCTGCTTCCTGTCTCTGGCTGTGTCCAGCCACCTGTCCTCATTTAAGATGCATCCAATCACACCTGATGCATCCATGAGATCACCCAGAATCCAATTATTTAAAGTTCTTACAGCCTGTATGTTTTTTTCATGATTGTATGTTGATGGAGGGAACCCGGTTTCGGTCCTGTATGTGTTTAGTTCGCTTGTTTAATTAATAACCTAAAAGGAAATTTGATTTGCAACACCAAAGACACAATCTCATTAGAAACTCAAAAGCCACTTTTAGTGCACATGACCCATGTATGGAGGCCTTAGTCCTCGACGTGGGCACACCGGGTTCGAATCCGACCTGTGGTCCTCTGCCACATGCCTCTCTCTCATACCATCTTTCCTTTGTTAAAATAAGGAAGTTATGCCTCCAAAAAAAGCTGTTGCGCCTCGGGGGCTTCCTCGGGTTCTTTTTCTGGGAGCAAGTTATTTACTACTCTTAACTCAAACTGGGTAAAACATATAAAAAGGACTATAAAACAGGAGTAATCAGGTCGTTACAGGACAGAGAAAATGCTTGGAGCTTGAACAGCTGTGGGCTCAAAAATCACCAAAGATTGAGCCCCGAACAAGGTCATCACCTGCTTCTTATAGCTCATGGGTCTATGTGTTGCATCATGTTGATGTTTAGCTGTCCGTATCAGAAACTGACACGCCATCCATGTCTTGAACTTCATGCAGCTTGCTTCTATGCTTCAGGGTTACAGATAGCTATCCCCTATCAGACCGGCTCCAAGATGTGCCCATATTCTGTGTACTCTTAAAGACACGAAGGCTGTCCTGATTAGATGACCTCCGTACACGCAGTGACACCCACAATGTGAAGGAAGGCCTTCTACTCTGTCTAATCTGGCTAACAGAATAACAATGCACATTATGTATAAAGAATAAACCTAACACCGTCAGCCTACTGTCGAAAAAAACAAGCCACTAGTGCCGTAAAACACCCCCTAAAAAAAAATAAAAAATCAACAGCCACTATATTAATACAACACAGATAAAAAGGAGTCCGTCTCTCATTAACACATTATAGTTCCCAGAGGCTCTGGACATGTTATTAACCACTGAACTATAGGGGTTAAAGGTTATAGTCCTGTAAAGATAGCATGAACATCAGATTAAATTACGGGTCAAAGGCCTGGGAGGAGGACTAATGTGTGTTTTGCACTCTAGAATTAGACTTTTCTGGGTACAGCGTCTTCGGATGTTATCATCCCATTAAATGGCCTTTATCAACAGTTGGCAGTCCCATACAATGGCTCCAGATTATGCCTCCTACCTCCCAGTAGGCTGAGTAGGTTGTAAGGTAAATCCTTTTTCGACCGCAGAATTATTTAAAGGAATAGTACACCCAAAACATGATTAGCCTTCATTTTCTACTCACCCCCATGCTGAACAACACTCTGGATTACTTTTTTGATATCTCAAATGCAGCTGGAGATCTGGGAGGCTTCTTGCTGTCTTCTGACATTCAAAAAATGGAGGTCTATGGCGCCCGAGGCAGAAAGGTCCATAAAAGTCCACAAAAAACGTGTCAATATTCCTCCATACTGCTCGTCCAATGTATTCCAAGTGTCCTGAGTGGGTAGTGTCCATAATTTACTTGAAACGAAGTCATTTAGAATGTTTTTAGAGCATAAACAGTAGTGTATAGGATTTCCTAAAAGCGCGTTCACGAGTCTACGGAAACCGCGGCAGACCAAACCAGATCTCCAGATGCATTTGAGATATCAAAAAAGTACTCCAGGCTGTTGTTCAGCATGGGGGTGAGTAGAAAATGAAGGCTAATCATGTTTTGGGTGTACTATTCCTTTATTCTATGTGTCTATTGAACATCATTTTAGTAGTTCTTTCAGTATTGTAAAAAAAAAAATGTAATCGCATGTTGTTTATATTTCACAAATCAAAAACAAAGAATCTCATAACCTGTCAACGAAGTTGTTTTTAAACACCACTGTCATAAAACCAGAATGTAGGACCCAGTATTCAGGCGAGACAGACGGGAAAATTGAAAACATTAAAAACCAAAAATAACAACAAAAAAAACAATACAGAAATGATTGATGAGCTGTGGATCTGCAGCGGCTGCTAGGAGGAGGCGGGACAACACCCTTCACAGGCACTGTGGTTTAGAGAGAAAAACACAGGTAAGTGAGCACCATAATCTGATGGAAGATGATTATCCATGTGTGTCACTAGCCTGGTTTAACAATTCAGTCTATCCTTTCAGACTGAGGCAGGGTCCAGCCGATGGGCTGCCAACGAGATGGGGCTGGAGCCGCCCAGAGGGTCCCCAATGCTGCAGCCTCAGTGAACAGGCAAAAGTCCGAGCCAGGTCAGGGAAAACAGTTCAGAACAGGACGGTTCAGGAGATCAAGGAGTCCGTAGCCCGGTCAGGGGTTCAGAGTAACAGACAGATCCCGGGTTACAGGAATCCACATAGCGTTCAGGCAGGTTCAGGATTCCAAGACTCCAACAGAGAGTTCAGGCAGACCCGTTTGGATGCAGACAGGCAGGCTCAGTAGTTGAGAGGCATGACTAGACATAACCACAGAACTTTAAACCAGCTCCCACCACAGAGCCAAAACAGGAACAGTGAATGCTCAGGGCATGTTCAGGTAACACCAAGACACGACAAAACCCCTCTGTAACTACTGGCCTAGAGAACGAGCACATGAACTAAGGAATCAAAGTGGAACTCAAAAACATAAAACATTATCTGGCCCCGATAGCTGGGCTAAGCAGTATATAAATCAGCAGGAGCAGGTGGATAAGACGAATGATAATTAGTAACTGGGAAGGGTTAGGCAGGTGAGTGAAGTTAGCAAATAGGTCAGCTATCAGAGGCGCAATCATGACAACCACATTAAATCCATATTGACTGAAACACGTGAAACTCATTCAAATGTTCAAAATACATTTTTTTCAAAGTAGGATCATTAGAAATAAAGAGAATAAAGTAGTTAAGTTGTAAATAAAATGCATGGTTTTAGATGCAGGGGAAGCAGCTCCTATCAATGATGAGCTGCATATAATGGAACTGATAACTGCTAATAACAGCCATTTATTTGTTTGATCACATCCAAAACTGGTGCTTAGTATTTAAGATTAAGCTCAGAAATATCAGGATGAATGACAGAAACCCTGGCATGCATTGCTCCAATCAAAAGGCATCCTCAAACAGGATGGAGCAGGAGATCAGACAGGTAGGAGCACAATGGAGAAGAACCCAACTTTTTTAAATAGTAGGACATGGAGGAACCTTTTGGTACCAGGTGTTAAGGAAAGCTCTGTGTTTAAACCTTGAAGCTTTCTCTCCCCTAGTCTCTCCTGAGAAGAGATCCCTCTGGACAAACTTTTTAAATAACATTTAATCATGCATATGTTTTAAATAACCACAAGACAGGACAACAGATTTAGTCAGAAATTGTAATCCTGGTCCAGAGAAGTTGCTTAGGGTTACAGATGGCAGGGCTTACAAACCGGACTCGCTACGTGTTGAAGTCGGTCCTGAATCACAGTTAAAGAAGTATTTTATACATCTCCACTATGCCACATCAGCACATGATTACATCATACAGGTTTGTAAATGAGGATACATCCATGGCTGCAGCCTTATCAAAATAATACACTATGGGCCGAATCTATCAAAGGTTTGCGTGTATAAAAACATGAGCTATTTCACTGCGCACGCTAAAAAATGTACAAACTGATCTATCAACAGCGTGCTAAAAGGATTTGGTCTTTAAAACGTGCTAAATAGCGCCTCTTATCCATTTAGTACTTTTTCTGCCATGAATATGCAATATGGGGCGTTTACACGCAAAAGTGCGTCTTGTGGGAGGAGAACAGGTAAATATATTAATTTAGCACTCGCAAAGTGATTTATTAAACCTGAAAGCGATTTTGCTAACGGTATCTGACTCTATATTTAACATGTTTCAAAAGAAGGTGCAAATAGTCTGTATGCGTAATTGCGCACACATGGCAGCGGTTATTGTCGCAAGAAGGAGACATCGAAATGAAGCAAGGAGACGCAGAGAACGCATTTTTTCACTCCGTGTGAATATTTTTGGAATGAACGAGGAAACGATCATCAAAACATATCGTTTATCCAGCATTGCCATTTTGGAGCTGCAATTCCAGTGATTTGCTCCTCACAGAGCGTCAGCTGTACTTGTTCCTCAATGCTGGTCAGAGGCATCTCATCTACTGTGCCCCCTCCAGTTTTGTTCGCAGATGTTTTGTTATATGCCAGTTTTTCTTTGGTTCGCCTTCTAATATCCTGGTATCTTCTTTTTACTTCATCCACTGTTCGCAAGGTTTCACCGACAGCGTTTACTTTATTACAGATTTGTTCACATATAGCGTTCCTCTGTGTGACAGTCACACTTCTTTGCTGTAGCTCACTTAAATGTTTGTTGGCTTCATCCACCAACACCTCCATTTCCATGGGGTCGAATTTCCTTTTGCGCCTTCTGCTGTCCAAACTCGCCATGCCGCAAACCACAAAACGCGCAAAACCATCATTTAAATAGGGCGTCTCCAACAGTTTTGCACCTGCCACCAGTTACGCAATCGCTCTTGTTAAATCACCCGCAAACCATGGTTCAGCCCCTCGCGCAAAATTCCAGTTTGCGAGCGCAAATTACTGCACGCAAAATTGGATCTTGATAAATCCGGCCCTATGTTTTTAGATCAAGGACGCTGATCTCATTCCATTTCCAAATCTTTGCCACCAACATAATGAAGAAGATAACTTTATAGCTGGATAGAGGAGTTGTCCTAATTAGATAAACTACTTGGGAAAACCTTACTTTTGACACATAACAGGCAGCTATTATTAGGGTTTAACAGGCTTACACATCAACAATAAAAATAACCCTAACACACAGGAAAGGTCCCCATATATTTAGATCCACTAACAAATTTGACTTCTTAGTCCTGAATTATTTTGCAGGAGGTTTTAATTTCAGCTTCAAAGATAAAGTGGCCACTTGCCATCTTTATCGCTGTGGTTCCTTAGGTCCACAGGGGGCATGACTGCTCCAGCCTGAGCTCAGGAACACCATTTCCCCTTACCTCTGTTATCTGGGTGATTCGTCCCCATTTTGACCAAAACAACATGGACGATGCGAAGGAGAAAAACGCGTTATTACTCATCCGTCATCTTCATAATCAGCTAGTTAGCAATCATGACCGTTGTCTAGTTTTCATAGATCATTTTCTTTTTCTCCATTTTTTTTTTTGCATTGTCATTTTCTTGCTCTATATACACTGTTTTAAACATGTTCTGTTTTTGCTCTCATGGCACTTGATGTACTGTGGTTCTTATCTACAACCTGTCAGTAATTCAATTAGGTTTTTGGATGCAACCTTCTGAATTCTTACAATTTAATCAATAAAAAGACCTTTGCTAAAAAGTTGTCAGAGTTGAGTCCAAAGTAAAAACTTTTTAATAAATATTCAGTGATGTCTTCCAGCTTTCAACTACTTCCATTCAATGCAGCTGTGGAGCAGAGTAGCAGGTCCTCCTCTTTACCAGATTTATCTTTGATTTTAATAATTGTTTATTAATCAGCTGATTTTTACCACTTTTGATAATTTTTTCTAAGCTTCTCCTTGAATAAAGGCGTATCGATTGAAGGTTGAGCAGAAACTTTCCCTCCTCAGATTCCTAATGAGCAGCCTGGGCGTGTTGGAAGACAAAGTAGGTCAGGGTTCTGAAAATGTTTGGATGGGTCAGAGTCATCGCTCCCTCTCTCTCTCCTCCGTCTGAGTCTGAGCAGATGGAGAAAAATGTTATTAGTTTGGGTCATAGGAGGAAAACCATGATCATAGCAGCGTGAAGAAGACATCAGGGAGGAGGTAAAAAATCTCGACTCATTTTTGAGTCTTACTCGACTTCGAACAGAAACGACAAATTCTGCTCAGATTACAGCAGTTTGTTGCTGAATTAGCTACGCACAGCGGACATGTCAGAGATGGAAGAAGGTGGATCAGTCTCTTTAGTTTGTATTAGAAAGGGTTTTGTTGAGAACTGAAGCAGAACTTTGGAGCAGATGGTGTAATCATTTCTGAAGCAGCAGGATGAACCCAAACTGGACCAACAGTCAGAGCTTCACCCTGAGCTGAGACGGATTAAAGAACCTGCAGCTGTTTTACAGCAGCATCTAGTGGCTGCTGCTAGAACTGCTATTTCCGGCACCAGGCATGGCTGACCCATCATCTACCAAGAACAAGCCCTACTCCTGGCTAGTAATGGCCATCATCATCACCAGCCTGCTTCTTCTGGACCTTCTCCTGGTTCAGCAAAGTCCTGCTCCAAAGATGACAGGTGTGTGCATCTCGGTGGTGGTGGGTGATGTGAGTTTTTTCGTCATCCTTCGGTACCTGGCGATCTGGGTTGGGACAGAGGTCCATAGTGCCAAGCGAGGCTACGCCATGATCCTCTGGTTCTTCTATATTTTTGTCCTGGAGTTGAAGGTTTACTTTGTTTACCAGAGCTTCAGGTCTCAGGATTTGGATGCTGAGTTGGGTTCAGATGGATCAAGGAGATCTCTGACGCTGCTGTTGTGTATTAGCTTACCCCTAATGTTTGTAACACTAGCAGCTGTCGATCAGTTGGATTTTTTACAGCAGTATAACAAAAGGGAGGAGATGAGGAGCCGTTTGTTCTGGGTGGTGCTGGACCTCCTGGATGTCGTGGATGTTCAGGCCGATCTGTGGGAGCTTCAGAGGGAACGTCTCCCTCTCTGGATGGAAGGCGTGATGTTCTTCTACTCCTACATGGTCCTATTGGTGCTGCCATGTGTCTCCCTGGGGGAGATCAGCATGCAGGGTGTGCACATCGCCCCCCACAGGATGATGCTTTACCATGTCGTCAGCCTCATCTCCATCAACGTCATCACCCTGCTGATCCGCGGCGGGAACCTGCTGCTGTACAGCCACATGTCTGGGATAATGGTGGGGAAGAACGGGATCACCATCCTTCTGAAGAGCTTCAGTTTGGTGGAGTTCAGGAAACACCAGCTCGCTCCTCCTACAATTGATCAAGGCGGTGAACTGAGGCAGGACGTTATTGGAGAAGTTCAGGGAACCAGCAGGCGGCAGATGGTAGTTCCTAGAGTGGTGATCGAGGATTTTACAACAATACCTGAGGAGGATGAAGAGGAGGGTGGGACCAAACGGGGAGAAGACAATCAGAGAAATCCAGCAGTGGATCAACAACCTGAAGCTTCTACTGATGTCCTGATCCCTTTAAATCTCAGTTTACTGAGAGTGGACTGAAGCGCAGAGAATGATTAATTGTCATTTCTTTCTGTTCATTGGAAAGACTGATAATCTTCATGTTCTCCACCTGGATCCAGCAAGCTTCCAAATAAACTTCCTATGTGTGGCTGTATAACTTATGGACATGCGTGTAATAGAACTGAGCCGGTCCAGGTGTTTATAATCTTTTTCTTAGAGTCCTTTTAATTTGTCCATATGTAGGTTTGGGGATAAAGCCTGACTCCTCACTGGTCTGCAGCTCCACAGGTCATATTCGTTCCCTTTGCTCAGATTGTCTCTTCCACAAGAGTCCCAAAGACAACTAAAAGCTAAGTGGACATGGTGGCTAATGTCAGCACCAGATTCTACAAAACAGACAGATCTGCAACAATTCTCTTTTAGTTTGTAGGAATAACTTGGAGATGGCAGAGACCAGAAGAATGAAGCATCCGAATAGATGGGCTATCCTACTAACTAATAGCTCCTAATCTTAAAAACCAAACCTGGCTAAAGGATTCTTACCCTTAAATATTCCCTCATGAACAATCAAAAAAGCTCTTGAATAGACTATCTAAATGGGTATTTATTTCTGATTCAGGCAAATAATTTAATGAAGTATTATTTTACCAAATTATGCTTTATTTACCTCTTGAATTTGTATTGCAAATTGGTTTGAACACATTTGAATTGCGTTAAATTAATCTAAAAGATAATTTCGCCTCATTTTAAACTCTCCAAGACAAACTAAAAGGGAGGGTTTTCTCTCCCCTGTTGCTACAAGCTTGCTTGGTGTGAGGGATTGCTTTCGAGTAAATGAGTCGATGCAATCAGCTGGTTTTCCTTAGACTGAGAACTTTGAACCAATTTGACTGGATGATCTGGTTGAGTTGTCTCTGTAAAGTAGTGTGAGATGAAATGTTTGGTGAATTGTCATTATATAAATCAACTCAAATGAAAGTGAATTGATATGCAGACTGTTCTATATGGAGGATAAAAAGTGCCAAAATTAAATAAATAAATACGGCATTAAATAAATAATTAAATGTGTCAATAATTAATTAAATGTGGAATTAAATAGATAAATGTGTCATTCATTAATTAAAAACAAGTCAATAATATAAAGTGCCACAATTAAATAAATAAATACAGCGATAAACAATTAATTAAATGTGTAATTCATTCAGTAAATAAGGAATTAAATATATAAATGTGTCATTAATTTAATAAAATACGTCTTCATTTTATTAAAAAGATATATATTATTATTTCAGTGTGCATTTAATTATTTCATGGTCCTGCATCAAAACCATTAAAAGAATCTGTCAAAGTCACCCATCATAGTTAGGGGGCGGGGTTAACGCGAATCGAGTCTCTGTAATCGATTTGCTTCGCCTTAATGTGCAGGGTGACCAATCAGGTGTTAGATAACCGATAACAGATCATTTTGGCACTTTTTATCCTCCATAGTTCTAAGGCTACGTTCACACTGCAGCCCTTAATGCTCAATTCCGATTTTGGGGAGGTAAAATTTTATTATTTTGCATGCTTGTTCACATTTCCAAATTTATAGGATTTAAATGTGATCTCCTGTGTAAACTGCATTCATAAAACTTAAGTTTCCCAAATGCGCAGTAGAGGAAACAATGATGTTTGAAGTAGTGAACGTGCTCTGTGTTTACCAAAGTAAAAATGGATTGTAGTGCTCGAACCCTTTGATCTTTCATTTATTTTCCAACCGTACCCAGCGCCTTAACAACTGGATGATTAATTAATGATTAATTATCATTAGAACTGGCCCATAGGCCATGGCTGCTTGTGTGCGCTGCTGTGGCTTTGCGGGCTACAGTTGCATTGTTGGGAATTTAGTGTTGCTGCGGTTGTGTTGGATGCACCGACACTACATTCCCAGGTCAAAACATGATTGTGTTTTTCTTTATTTAAATTTTTTGTTGTGCCTTGCATGTTTGGATTGTTTTGCTTTTTTCTTTTCTCCCTTTAACAATCCAAATTAGGCTGAATTCTGTTGTCTGAGGAGGCGGAGTGCACTAACTGCACTGCAAAAAAAACATCTAGAAATAAGTAAAAAATTTCTTAAATTAAGTGTATTTACCCTTAATTTGAGAAGGTAAATAAGATGATCTGCCAATGGAATGAGTATTTTTACTCCTAAAATAAGAAAATTAGATAATATACACTTGAAATAAGACAAAGCAATAGTTTTTTTCTCATTTTAAATGTAAATTTTCTTGTTCCATTGGCAAAGTGTCTCATTTACCTCCTCAATTCAAGAAAAAATGCACTTAATTTGACCAAAAATTACTTATTTAGATTTCCATTTTTTGCAGTGTGCGCTCCACAACGGCTGCACGCAGGGGTCAGCAGAGGCTGATTGAAGCCAAAATAAAAGGAGCCTGGATGGAAGAGGGGGTGATAGAGACGCACTGCAGGTGATACAGACGGACAAGCTGCCGAGCGAGGGGCAGGGGGGGATCTGCACGATACTCTGATTGAGACGGAGCGCTCCTGACAGGCACTAATTGATAATGTTACGGTCTCAGGACACGCAGCGCTGGAATGGAATGTCTTTTATGGCGGGAAGAGGAGGGCCGATGATCCTCTCTGCTGTTCTCACCACTCTTCTCACCTTCTTCCAGTCTGAGGCGCTGCAGCCTCCACACCACACAGTGAGACAGCTGGTTACAACGCTCTCTATGGGGCTTCTGTAGAAGGTGGTGAGGATGGGTGGGGGTAGGTAGGCTCTCCTCATCCTCTGCAGGATGTACATGCGCTTCTGTGCCCTTTTAATCAATGAGGAGGTGTTCATAGTCCAGGTGAGGTTCCGTTATGTGCACCCCAAGGAGTTTGGCGCTGCTGACCACCTCTACAGCTGAGCTGCTTTTCTCATTTTCAAGTAATTTCCGTAACTATTGTTTTTTTTCTTTAAACGAGGGAAACCAACAATTTTGTCAATGTCTTTACAGGAAACATTTAAACCACTGTCTTGCATTTAGCTAACAAAAGTTATTCTACTCTGACTGTGGAAGACCAATACTGCAATAATTCTAAAATACAATAAATACATAAATTTAGGTTAGTGAGCCATTAGATGCAACAAACTGATAAAAACTATATATATAGATAGATAGATATAGATATATATTGCACTTTTATTCTCATTCCTTATTCAAGCAATTAAAATTTATAATTAGTCTCTTAGTTGATTGGTGTATTTTTTCTTTACTTATTTTTTTAAATTAAATAAATTTTTTTTTTTTTTTCTAACTTTTTAAAATTCTCTTTTTTTGACCACCCAAATATATTTAAAACATGTTTTGCCACTTTTTATATTATTTTCTAATAACTGAATTAACGTCATAAAATCTGGTAGTTTTAGTTCTTTATGTATTTCTATTTATGGCAGGATTGGTCCTCTATACCTGTCAGTGTTTAGGGTCTGATAAAGTCCAATAAGAACCATTGATCCATCCATCCATCCATCCATCCATCCATCCATCCATCCATCCATCCATCCATCCATCCATCCATCCGTCCATCCATCCGTCCATTCATCCACCCAGCCATCCATCCATCCAACCATTCTTCCATTCATCCATCCATCCGTCCATCCATCCGTCCATTCATCCACCCAGCCATCCATCCATCCGTCCATCCATCCGTCCGTCCATCCATCCATCCGTCCGTCCATCCATCCGTCCATCCATCCATCCATCCATCCATCCGTCCATCCATCCACCCAGCCATCCATCCATCCATCCGTCCGTCCGTCCGTCCGTCCATCCATCCATCCGTCCATCCATCCGTCCATTCATCCACCCAGCCATCCATCCATCCGTCCGTCCATCCACCCAGCCATCCATCCATCCATCCGTCCGTCCGTCCGTCCGTCCATCCATCCATCCATCCGTCCATCCATCCGTCCATTCATCCACCCAGCCATCCATCCGTCCGTCCATCCATCCATCCATCCATCCATCCGTCCATCCATCCATCCATCCATCCATCCATCCATCCATCCATCCATCCATCCATCCATCCATCCAGTCAGTCAGCCCCGCCTTCCTCCGCAGATCAACAGTCGTCTGTAGAGAGGATGGCAGCGGCTGCGGACCGTGGAGGATTTCTGGGAGCGGCGGTTCCTTCGTGTCCGGCTGCAGCTGCCGAACCTTCGGAAGGATCCGAAGCTGATAGACCAACCGACTGTCGGGTCGCGGTTCCTATGAACCTTTACGCGACCTGGGAGGTGGAGCGGTCCTCTCCGAGCTGCGTGCCCAGGTAAGGCGATCAATGTTGGGCGGGGAGCAGGAATCTGGTTCTGACTCAGAAATAGTCTTTGGTTCAGAAATCCTGTAGTTCTGATCGGACCGGTGGTTAACTTAACAGCTTATTTCAAACTGATCACTTTTATAATTTTTTTTTATTACTTTTAATTCTTAGCAATAATGCTCATAATAATGTTAAAATTTGCTCAAAAATATATAAAAAAGGCAGAAATCTTTTTTATGGCAAAGAAAGTTTATTTAATGTGTTTCTGTTGATGTTGCCAGGGCTGGTCCAAGATTCTATGGGGCCCTGAGCAAAATTTGAAAGTGGGTCCCCCTTTCTCTGCCAATAATATAGACTGCTCCAATCCACAGTCAGGTGATGCGATCTCTCAGACACCTAATTTAAACCCAGTTTACCATTTTCTATGTGTGTATTCAATTTAATTCATTTGGTTTGCAATTTATTTACAGTTATAGTGTCATCTGAGATATAATTTTCTGTAAAAAAAAAAGCAAAAATAACCTGCAGTGCAATAGCCACAAAATAAAAAAACTAACAAAACAAATTTAAAATCATTTTTATATTCTGAAAGTAATAAATGAAACTGTACAAAAAGAGACATAAATAAAAACAACACTGAGATACCAATCACCAGTGTTGTGCCTGAACGCGTTAATTGAACGAAAGTTCATGAACTCGAACGTGAACTGAACGTAATGCATTCTTGCCTGATGAACGTTATTGTGAACTTGTTCATTCTGGTGTCTGTGAACGGCACGCTCTCTCAGTTCAGCTCCGTTCAATAGGTTGCCAGATTTCTATAGAGTCCTCCAGGCGAAACCCCGGCTAAATCAAACCGTAAACAGGCCTTAATATGTAGCGGGAAAAACACCCAATCTGGCAACACCAGCTACCAGTGTCGTAGCCTACAGCCGCGTGCGTCATCAAAACAAAATGCCGCGTGGAAGCCACAGCAGCGTGGAGGCGACAAAGCAGCAGTATGATCACTTAAAACAGTTTTATGACCAGGTGGTCGGTGAGGATGATGGCAACAAGTTTGCCCACCGGCTTTCAGTAAAAAAATCCGCACTTCAGTAACCTTAAATTCCTACCTCAGCCTGGTCCCTCAGTTTGTGTTAGTAAAATCTTCTTGAGCGGAGGTCTTCAACAGGGGATCCGCGACCCCTAGGGGGTCTACGGAGGTACTGCATGAGGGTCTGCATGGTTAGTTGATATTTTTATATTCCCCCCCTGCAATTTTTCCCCCCACTAATTGAAATGTCTTTAAATACTCATTAACATGAAATCAACACACTGTAGTAAACAGATAAATGGAGACAAAAGATGTCTTTCAGTCATCAATGCACACATTCAGCGACACACAGGAGCTCTTTCAAGCTGGGCACCGTTTCCTTCACAACAACCAGGAATCAGAATCAGAAAAACTTTAATAATCCCAGTGAGAAATTAATTTCTTTACATTACTCCATCTGTAATAGAGTGACTATAGGACACAATTTCATACAATATATATAGTTAGGGGGTCCCCGCTCCATCTCGCCATCAGTTTGGGGGTCCTTGGTCTGGAAAACATAGAAGACCCCTGTTCTTGAGGGTTTTACTATCCATGTAACTTGTTTGTTAAACCTGCCTGGTATAATTTTCCAGGATTCCAATATTCCTTTTTAGTATGTATTGAAATGGAATTTCAAATGGAAAAAAATATTAAAATAAAAAAAACATTTGCACCTTAAAGACTACTTTCCTATTTTTCTTTTAATAATTACTCGTAAAAAAGACCATTCAAGCAGCACATTTTTCCTGATGTTTTTGAGAATATACTGTAGGGGTGAGAGCTGCAGCTGCTACTAGTGTGAAGTGAATGGACAGCAACAAAGCGTTAAAGCAACAATGGGGAAATCTGTCCCCTCAATGCTAATGTAAACCTTGGTTGGATAAGGATTCAAAACTGGATATGAAGATGAAATCTGACGCACAGTTTCAGAGTTACAACTGATAAAATAATTGCTGTCTGTGGTTCTACAGTAGGCTATGGTGTAATTGAGCAATATATGAAAAAAAAAAGAACTATGAACTAGTTAATTTTTTGGTTTTGAATTATGAACTATGAACTGAACTAGTTCATTTTAAAATGTGTGAACTGAACTTTGAACTAGTTCACGTAGAAAGAGAACTTTCCCAACACTGCCAATCACATACTAAAATAATGTACATGAATACCAGAAAAGGTTAGAATATTAAAGTAATAACTTTAAAGTTGAATAATTAGGTCTGGAAAATGTAACCTTATGCAAAACCTCTGAATGAATATATAAAAAGACTACCTTCACCCATAAATTTGGTACTTTATATGAATCAGTTTTTCCCCAGAATTCTAAACTCTCTTTAAAATGTGTGCTTCCTGGTTTTTGTGGCTTCAAATGTTATTAATGACATTTCTGTTAAATATGTAATAACCAACTTTGCTAAAACAAATAACTTTCATGTCGTCTATATGAACATCTGGTCTATAATGGACATCTTTAGATAACTTTCTTTATTTCCTCCATTATTGCAACAACTAAAAGTCAGCCACAGGTCAGCAAGAAGGATTTCAATTTGTAGAAGAAAATTAATTCATGATGGCCATGAAGTATCCATCCTATCATGCTTATCCCAGCTGGGGTTGTGAGAAAACTTATCCCAGCTGTCAATGGGTGAGAGGCGGGGTCGACCCTGAACAGGTCACCAGTCTATCCCAGGGCAACACAGAGACACAAAGGACAAACAACCATTCACACACACACTCACACCTAAGGAGAATTTAGAGAAGCCAATTAACCTAACAGTCATGTTTTTGGACTGTACCTGGAGTTTTTGTACCGCAGAGAACCCACACATGCACAGGGTGAACATGCAAAGTCTAGCAAAAAGACCCTGGGCCGGGAATCGAACCCAGAACCTTCTTGCTGCAACGAGAACCACTGTGATGAAAGCCACTGACCATGAAGTAAAGTATTTATTTGTTGTAAGCATTGTAAATAATTTTTACATTTGGATCTCTTTATCCACAGCCGCTCACCAGCCTGCACAGAGAGCTGACGGCCTGTGGGTGACAGCGATCTGAAGTTAGGCTTTACCTGATGCTTATGATGCATTTCTCAGTCACTATACAGTTTTTATATCCAGTGACATAGCTCAACTCTGCAGATCGAGCAGTGGGAGATGGAGTGCAGGCCATCTGAATAACTAAAGCATTGGATACGACCCACAGAAGTCATTTAGAGTTGAGCCTTTCCTGTCTTCACTTTGGTAACCAGACTTCAGAGTAAAGCATACATGGAGCTTTGTAAAAGATTGTAGCGGGTTATTTTTTCATAAGTTGTGCCCATGGCTCAGCCATGAGGGAATAGGGTAATAACCAGCACAAAAACCACACAAAGCTTTGCTGATTTAACTGAGGGGTTTCTCCACTCTGAAAAGCTCTCTAATCAATGCAGAACAGGTTTTCAGTGCAGCCATTGCCAATGTCTTTAAGAATTATAACAGTCTTCCAACATAACGGTCTGCCAAAAACTGATCACTATAGCCAACTGCAGTAGCTAAAATGGGTAAATACGTAATTATTTTTAAAACTATGATTGACCATTATTTACATCTTTGAAATAGTTTTAACTCCCAAATATTTTAGTTATCATAAACCCTATTTCTGTCTTTAAGAAGCCGTTCTGGTGACATGGGCAGAATTTTTTTTTGAAGATGTTAAGGCGTGGCCACGATTTACTAACGCGTGGCCACGAGATAGATAAGTTGTGGCCACAACTTACTAAGTTATGGCCACAACTTATCTATCTCGTGGCCACGCCTTAGTAAGTTGTGGCCAAAACTTAGAAAGGCGTGGCCACAGCTTACTAAGTCGTGGCCATGTGTTAGTAAGTTGTGTTACTAAGTAAGTTATAAAGTTCTGGCCACGCCTTACTAAGTTGTGGCCATGACTTAGTAAGTTGTGGCCACAACTTACTAAGTCATGGCCACAACTTAACATCTTCAAAAAGAATTTCTGCCCACGTCACCAGAGGGGCTCCCTATGTCTTTTTAAACTTAAGACACAAATCCCTAACAAACTGATTATTTATGATGAAATATAACCTGCATTGTTTGCATTAAACAATTTTCTGAGCAACATGCTGTGACTAAAAATTACAGTAATGGCTGTTTTTGATCTTAATAGCTAAAATAATACTTGAAGTAATATTTTAGCTATTAAGATCAAAAACAGCCATTACTGTAATGGCAGTCATCTAGAGCTGAAAACTAACAATATAAAGTAGATTTGAGCAGATGTTTTTGGTTCCAAGCTTCAAATCAGAAGTTTGAGGCCAAAACGCTCTTTTCACTGTGAGATAAGGTCATTTTGGCCTCTGTAGTTGTAACAGACACACCATTAATGATACAGCCATGATCTTTTCTGGCAATCATCTAGAGCTGAAAACTAACAATATAAAGTAGATTTGAGCCGATGTTTTTGGTTCCAAGCTTCAAATCAGAAGCAGTAGATTTAACAGTAGATTATTATAATTATTTCAATATTATAGTTTGCATTTAGGTTTTAAAAAACAAAATGACAACACTGCAATTTCTTAAACAAAAAAAAAAACAAAGAACCACAAAGCCATACATGGATTAAGAGTAGAAAACCTTGTCTATTTTTCTGTTTTCCTCATGTGTGGTGGTAATTTCTTAATTATTAAAACATGTTGCACTTTAAAAACAAGACAATTGCAATGTGAAATTATATGGTTTTGTTCCCATAATCACAGAGAAATAATTTCACATGGAATAAAAACACAGGTGTATTTTTTACTTAACCAGGTGCTTAGTTGTCTCCAGCGCTGGTGTTCGATATTTTGGTGCCCGAAACACAAATACTCTGTGGTAACTACCCCGACCCGAGCTTAGAACAAAACTTATAAATGCCAGAGCTAGCATTATTAAACAAAACAAAAAAG